GCAAGAGTTCCAGAAAAACATCTATTTCTGCTTTATTGACTATGCCGAAGCCTTTGACTGTGTGGATCATAACAAAACTGTGGAAAATTCTTGAAGAAGTGGGAATACCAGACCATCTGACCTGCCTCCTGAGAAATCTGTATGCAGGTCAAGAAGCAACAGTTAGAACTGCACATGGAACAACAGACTGTTTACAAATAAGGAAGAAGTATGTCAAGGCTGTATATTGTCCCCCTGCTTATTTAACTTATATGCAGAGTACATCATGAGAAACACTGCTTTGGATGAAGCACAAGCTGGAATCAAGATGACCGGGAGAAATATCAACAACCTCAGATATGCAGATGACATATGGCAGAAAGTGAAGAACTAAAGAGCCTCTTGATGAAAGTGAAAGAGGAGAGTGAAGAAGTTGGCTTTAAACTCAACATTCAGAAAACTAAGATCATGGCATCCAGTCCCATCACTTCATCGCAAATAGATGGGGAAACAGTGGCAGACTTTATTTTCTTGGGCTCCAAATCACTGCAGATGGTGACTGCAGCCATGAAATTAAGACACTTGCTCCTTGGAAGAAAAGCTATGACCAACCTAGACAGCATATTAAAAAGCAGAGAGATTACTTTGCCAACAAAGGTCCGTCTAGTCAAAGTAATGGATTTTCCAGTAGTCACGTATGGATGTGAGAGTTGGACTATAAAGAAACCTGAGTGCCAAAGAATTGATGCTTTTGAAGTGTGGTGCTGGAGAAGAGTCTTGAGAGTCCCTTGGAGTGCAAGGAGATCCAATCAGTCCCTCCTAAAGGAAATCAGTCCTGAATATTCATTGGAAGGACTGATATTGAAGCTGAAGCTCCAATACTGTGGCCACCTGATGTGAAGAGCTGACTCATTTGAAAAGACCCTGATGCTGGGAAAGTTTGAAGGTGGGAGGAGGAGGGGAGAACAGAAGATGAAATGGTTGGATGGCATCACCAACTCGATGGACAGGAGTTTGAGCAAACTCCAGATGATGAAGGATCTGGAAACCTGGCGTGCTGCAGTCCATGGGGTCGCAAAGAGTCAGACACAACTGAGTGACTGAACTGAGGCTTGCCATAAGAAAGGGGTGCTTATAGATGCTAACATGATTCAAGAAGAGGCAAAGTCACTACATGGCAACTTGAATGGAAGGTGAAGGATGTAAAGATGGAGAACTGAATGCCAGCAAAAGGTGTTTTGATTATTTCAGATGGAGGTTTGTCTTTAAAAACGTCAGGGTAACAGGAGAGGCACTTCTGCTGACCAAGAGCCAGCAGACAATGTCCAGACACCATTAAGAAAATCACTGCACAGAAGGGCCATCTGCCTGAGCAGTGCTTAATGCAGACAAAGTACTGTACTGTATTCTTGGGAAAATGCCACAGAGGACATTGAGGAGTACAGAGAACCCAGCAGCAGGGTTTAAGGCGGGAATGAATGGGCTGCTTCTCCTTTGCGCAGATGCGGTCAGGTTTATGACAAGACGGCCCTTGAGCCTGAAGAGAGAAGAGGCCCAGCAGGTGCCCGTCTTTGGTTGGACATCAGGAGGTCAGCATGGCCAGGCCACGTCTTCTGGATTGGTTCCATTGATGCCTGGTCCCCGAGTTCAGGAAGCTCCTCGTCAGTAAGAGATGGTGTTTCCAGTCTTGCTGCTGCTGAGTAGAGCCCCCGGCCACACAGCCCCAGGAGTTCAACGCTGAATGCACAGACATGGTCTGCTTCCCCAGACACGGCGGCTCCGCTCAGCCTCTAGGTCAGGGGTCATGAGGACCTCTGAGGCTCCACACACGACACTACGGGAAGGATCGTCAACATCATGAGAGTCTGGGAGGCTGACACCATTGACAATGCTGTTGTTCTAAAAAAAAAATTCCTTCTGGAGAAAACTGTCTCGATGCTGTGCGTGACTCCACAGCGTTTACGACAGAGCCAGTCCAGGAAATCACGAGAGGTTGTGGGTCTGGCAACATGCCCTGGAGGGTGAACTGTTCTGATACAGGTCTTCAGGAGATTCCAGGGCTGGGACTCCCCTGCCGGCCCAGCGGTTAGGGCTCCATGCTTCCACTGCAGGGGCGCAGCTCAGACCCCTGGCTGGAGAACTAAGATCCCACATGCCGCAAGGCGTGGCCCCAAAATTAAAAAGTTCCAGGGCTGACAGACACCACAGCAGAGGCATTGACAGAAGAGATGAGATGAGAACTGAACCATGGCCAGACAGTGGAGAAGACGCAGAAGACGCAGCGCCAGGGAGCAAACTGACGTCAAAGCAGCGGGCAGAAGGGCTCCGATTCTTCAAGACAGCTTCCCACTTCTCTACGCACAACACGGCGAACGGGGGAGGGCTGGTGCAGTGTGGAAGCACGTTTGGAGGAGACAGAGAAGTCAGGCGGGCATTGCGAGGTATTTCTATGAAGCCCCCGGCCCCCCACCCCCTCCTTGGCCACCTGAGACAGCAAGACTGTCTCCCCGGCCCCCGCCAGCCTGCTCAGCCTGGGGACAAGGAGGGCTTCACAACAACCCACCTCCAGTAACGGACAGACCTCTCGTGTCTCAACGTGAAAGCCTAACAGCTGTGCACTGTCCAGGGCACGTGTGGAAGTGGCCAGTCTGTCCTCAGAGACGGGCGGTGAGCGGCGCTGACCACAAAACCAACCACGCGCAGCTTTCGTTTCTAACTATGCTTTCAAAGAATTGTGTGCAACTCTCCCTAAGTGGGGAAAGTGTCAGAATCTGTCACAGTAGCTTTTCTTTTTTAATGCAAGTGGCCCCAGTGCTGCATCATGAATATGACGGCAATGCTGTGCGCCAGAAAAGACGAGGACAGTCCGCCCATTAGTGTGTGGGCTGGCACCCTGAAGGGCCCACGCTGATTTCAGATTAGCCGTTGTGGCTGCGCCGGGCCTTCTCCAGTTGCGGGGCGTGGGCTCCCCACTGCAGTGACTTCTTGTTGCGGAGCACGGGCCCCTACAGCTCGGGCTTCGCTGCTCCAGGCTGTGTGGGATCTTCTCGCATCAGGGACCGAAGGTGTGTCCCGTGTTTGCAGTCCCTCTTCTTTTTTCCGTCTAGTATTTGCAGTATGTGTGACATCCACAGCGCTCTGTACGGTGTGGGTCCTGACAGATGATCCATCCTGGGGACAGGTGACAAAAACTCGTAATCCTGATACAGTACCAATTTTTCTTCATGATTTTTTGGGGGGGCTGCACCTCAAGGCTTGTGGGATCTCAGTTACCCAGCCAAGGAGTGAGCCCTCGCCCCCTGCAGTGTAAGTGTGGAGTCTTACCCTCCAGACCACCAGGGAAATCCCTCTAGTTTTCTTTTCTATAGCCTTACATGATTGGAAGAGTATATAACCTGCAAAAATGTCCTCAGCTGTTCATGTTGTCGATAGGGCCTTCAGTCAACAGTAGCTGTTAGAAGCTGAGCTTTGGGGGACTCGAAAGTGAACCTGTGACTTCTGACTGGGGGTAGGACCCCTGCCCCTGCGTTGCTCGAGGGTCAAATATACATGGATGTTGCCAAGTTCGGGATTCTCAACGGCAGAAGACAGGACACAGATATGGAGTGAGGGGGGCAAACACCTACAGATGCGGTGGAGCTGGTGGTGTCAGCATGGCACGTGACTCCTAACACCTGAGCACGTGTCTGCGCACACATGCCTATCAGCGTGTACACATGCCCACATGTATCAATGTGTGCACGTCCACATGTCCACGTGTGTTCACGTGTGCCCACACACAGGTGTGCCTGATACCCCCCTCGGCAGAAAGGCCTAGAAACACAGGCACGCTGAAAGCAGCGAGCACATTTTGCAGCTGGATCTTGGTCTCCCAAGCCAGCCCCATCACAAGGAGCCAGGGCACTGAAAACGGCTGCCTCCAGGGCAGGGACAGAGGCCCGAGCAGCCTGGGTGGACACCTGATGCCAAGCAGCAGCCACGCAGGAGGGTCCTGATGGGGCCCGTGTCTCGGACAGCACAGCTGACCGGACCCTGGGCCAGGCTGCAGCCGGACACCAAGGCAGCCCACAGGGCTGTTCACAACCCAGCCAGCCCAGCGGCATCCATCGGGGGCCACGTGCAAAGGCAGACCTGCTACTGGCAACTGAGTACCACACGCCGGGAAGTGGGCACCTGGGAAGGGGGAGTGGTGGGCGTGAAGGCGCCACAGACCGGCTGCAGCAGGATCCCAGGGGGCGCTGCTCTTGGGGGGCGAGGGGGGGGCGGGGTCTCCCTGTGGGCAGGTGCTGCAGACTGTCAGCTTCAGTGCAGAGGCAGTCCCTGAAGGTGGGGAAGCCCCTCCCGGCACTTCCTGGGACACAGACGCTCAGGGTGGAGGCCAGGCCGTCGGTGACTCACTCTGGACTGCCCGAAGATTCCGTGTCTCTGTGCGCAGGCATGTAGTGTGTGTGTGGATGTACAGTGTGTACACACGTGAAAAGCACGCGCGGTTCTCCGCATCCTCACCAGGACCTGGTGGGGCCGGACACATGTCGGGAGCTCGGTGGACACAGTGCAGGAAGCGGGAAGAGCCAAACTCACTTGAGCCAGTGACACCTGCCTGCCAGGTGTCACAGAGAACCAGTGATAAGACGATGTGCGATGTTGCTCATTCTTTCTGAACACGTTTATCTCCTGAGACCTCTTCTGAAACACAGACAGTGTGCCCATGACCACAGGGGAGGCCCCGCCCCGCAGGGCCGGGCGCAGTGGGGTGCGCCCAGCACACGCTGGCCCTCGGGTTTCCACCACCCAGGGGCGCTGCGAGGCGCCAAGAGGCCACCGCCTGTTGCCCCAGAGCAGCTCCTCAGGGCGAGGCCCGTGGCCTGGAGAGTGGTCACCCTCATTACCACAGGCTGCAGGCGACACGGCCACGGGGACCCAGGCGCGGCCAGGGATGGGCAGCCGCTGTCCTTGGTTGCTTCCCGGCTCGACTGGAGGGAGCTGGCGGGCACCCACATCCCTGAGGGCCCCACCCCCGCTCAGTGAGGCCTACGGAGCCGCTCTAAAAGCACAAGTTTGGTCTGCAGGTTCACGTTAAAGGGAGGCAGCCTGCTCAAATTCACACTCAGTCCAGTGGTGCCTGGGACGCGGGCCAGGACGCGGTGCGTGTCCCGGTAGAGCGCCAGGGGCCCGGGAGCGGCCTCCATGAGCAGGTGTGTGTAGGCCAGCATGCGCGCCGAGCCCGGCTGCAAATCCTCCGTCTTCTCGTACCTGCAGAGGAGAGCATGCCATGCCCCGCAGGCCCACGCTGGCCACTGGCACCCAGCGCCCCCAGGAGCCCGCGCCAAAGGGTGGACATACCTCCAGGCACTGTTGACCTCCAGGAAGCGGGACACGCCTGTCTGGGCAGCGGCCACGTCGATGTGCAGGACGACATCTGTGGAGAGCAGGCAGGCCCCGTCAGCGCCACGGGCCCGCGCCTCTGCCGAGACCACCCGGGCCTGGAGCTGCGCACCCACCTGCGCGGGCGGGCACCAGCTGGTGCAGCCTCTGCATCGCCACACCGCCGGGGTAGTTGAAGTGGGACACATACAGGCCCATGGCCGAGTATGCGGCGTTCACCACGAGGTGCCCCATCACCAGGAGGGACCCCACTCTGTGCAGCCAGGACGTCCTGTGACTGTTCAGCCTGGAAGGGAGCAGAGAGCCGGGAAGCGCCGTGAGGAGCATGCCCGCCCGCTGCCGCATATCCACGCGAGTGGTCACCACGCAGCAGACACAACAGACTCGGAAACCCGGCCAGGTGTCAAGGTCAAACCCGTGTCAGTGCTTCGAGCATCCCGAGTTACCCCTTGGGTCAGAGCCCAGCCTCGGGCACATCCCAAGCACGTCCCAGGTGCCGGGCAGAGCAAGGACAGGCGCCTGCTGCCTCTACAAGCTGGTCAGGCCGACCACGGGCCCTGCGGACTCGGGCTGGACCCCGCACCAGACCCCGGCCAGGCGCGCGGTTGAGCCCGTCGGTTACCCTAGACACCCGCCCCTTCACGACCCAGGTCACGGCCCAGGCGAGCCCGCAAGGTGGCCGGCGGCACTCACACGCGGGCACAGCCCCTGGCGGCCACGATGTTGAGCAGCGGGAAGGCGTAGATGATGAAGCGCAGCTCCTTGTGCGGCAGCAGCGAGTACAAGGCCACGAAGCCGAGTGTGGGCAGCAGCAGCGCCAGGGCCCGCCTGTCCACCGCCCCCAGCGGCACGAACAGCAGGCTGCAGCCCAGCCCGCGCGGCAGCGCCGAATAGAAGTACCAGAGCAGCGGCGAGGTCTGCGCGCGCGTCAAGGAGGCTGCAGGCTCCCCCGAACCCGCCCTGCCAGCCTGACAGCGCCCCACCCGCGGCACCCGGGAGCCCACAGCTGGGGCCACGGCATGGCCCCCCACGGGGACGGTGACCCCCCCACACGGGGATGGTGACCCCACATGGGGATGCTGACCCCTCACGGGGACGGTGACCCCCCACACGGGGACGGTGACCCCACACAGGGATGGTGAGCCCCACACGGGGATGCTGACCCCCCACACGGGGACGGTGACCCCACACAGGGATGGTGAGCCCCACATGGGAATGCTGCCCCTCATGGGGATGGTGACCCCTCCCATGGGGATGCTGACCCCTCACAGGGACGCTGACTCCCCACACGGGGACGCTGACCCCCCACACCCCCCATGGGCTGCCACAGCAGCGGATGGCGAGAGGGACTGCCCAGAACCATCCCTCCATCTTTCACTGTGAAAACAGCCTTTCTCAGGGTCGGGGGCACACTGGGGACCCATAGCATTCTCTTTGGGGATGTCTTTTAAAGAGCCCAAAGTAAAATGTTAAATCAGATCACAAGGACCGAGGAGAAGCTGGGGCTAAGATACTGAGTGGTGTTTTCTCCGGGCACAGATTCAGGACCAGGGAGACCCGCCCTGCAGGGAAAGAAGTGCTGGTGCTGGCGCCATGGCAGCCGCCATGCTCCCTGAGGCGCAGGTGCAGCGGACAGCAGCTCCTTGCTCTGTGCCAACAGAAGGATACGCCCCAGTGGGAACTCTTGTTCAGGACGGTGTTGTACCAGAGCACCTTCCCTTCTGGCCACACGAGGTAGCGCCAGAAATAGGAGTCCACGGCCACTGTCAGTCCTGAGGAAGGAAGAGCGGCTCAGCAGAGCATGGGCCGCCCCGGAAGCTGTCACAGGCAGAGGTCCCCGAGACGCAGCCCTGCCAGCACGGCACCCAGGAGCCACAGCACGTCCCCCAGAGGAGCTGAGGCGTCGGGACCACCCCCAAACCAGCCTCCACACACAGGTGCCCCGCGTCTGCCCGGCCTGGCCGAAGCGCAGTGAGGGGCCCTGTGCAGGGGGTCTCGGGGGGACGCTTGGGCAGCAGAGCCAGAAGACCTGCACTGGGGCCCTGGAGCCCCACGGGAGGTGCAGGTGACTCCACTTAACGAGAAAGAGAAACGAGCACGCGCCCGACAAGGGCGCAGCCCCCGTCAGCCCAGCCCCGCGGCCCACTCACCCAGGCAGAGGATCCCGGCTGGCACGGCACAGCGCAGGGCCTGGGGCAGCGAGAGCTTCCGCCAGCAGAGTGGCAACAGCAGCGCCAGGCCCAGGAGCAGGCTCAGCTCGGCCCTGAAGACCAGGATGACGAAGGCCGAGAGCCAGATGAAGCGGGCCCACCTCTGCTGCAGCCAGGCCACCAGCGCCAGCAGCACTGCGGGGGGCGGGCGCGGGGTCACCCTCTGCTCGGGGGGCGCGCGAGCCCCGAGACCACCCGCCTGGCCCCTCTGGGGTCCCTGCCCCACTCCCGGCCCCGCGGACCAGCTCCTCCTCGGGGTGCTGCTCTGGGGAAGCCCTCGCCCCGCCAGTCCCCCTGAGGCTGAGCTGGAGCCCTGCACGGGGACAGAGCTGGCTTGCTTCCTGGCCTTCCTGTCCTGCATTTCTGGGACACCTGGTGGGCAGCTTTTGACAGACACTCAGATGGACCCCACCCCGCCAGCCAGGGGGACCCAGGCAGGATAGGCCAACAGCGACATACCCACGGGCAGGGCCAGCACGTTGGGGAGCGTCCGCGTGCAGTAGAACATCAGGTGGAACTGTGAGGCCGTCACCCAGCAGAACAGGGTGGCCACCGTGGCCCCAAACTGCCGCCTCACTTCTTTTTGTAACGTCCAGAGTCCAAGAATCACGCCAAGTCCCAGGACGGCCCTGACTGAGCAGAGAGGGCGCGTCTGTCCAGCGGATCCCGTAGTAAAAACGGGCCGGTGTACACAGCACAACGGTAGTCAGCCGCAGAGAAGAAACCCTGCTGTGTGTAGCAGCGGATGCACCTAGAGGCCATCGTACTAGAGGTCAAGCGCAGAGGAGACGGGGAAGGCCAAGTGCCACATGGCATCACGTGTGTGTGGAATCTAACGTGACATGAATGCACTACACACAGAACAGACACACACGAGGCCACAGACTTCTGGCTACCAAAGAGGAGGCGGGGAGGGACAGCTTAGGAGTCTGCGATCAGCAGACACACGCGGCAGTGTGACAGACATCAGCAAAGACACACTGCCCAGCACGGGGAACTGCGTTCAACTGCGTTTAACAGCCTGTGATGGGAAGGGTCTGGAAGAGATAGATGTATATACAAAACTGAACCACTTCACAGTACATCTGATGTGAACAGAGTACTGCAAATTAATTCTACTTCAATAAAAAAACTGACATGCAAAATAAATGAAACTAAATACATTCCATTTAAAGCAACGGTATGTTGTTTTTACTGAAACTAGTGTTAGGTGAATTTGTTCACTCTCTGTTTCACTTGCTAGTAACTGAATTCTCTTGAGCGTGGTGGGCCACCTTTCAGTCCTATGACATTTTTTATTTAGCAGTAAACACTTCTGAAACTCAGACAAACGGGCTGGGCGTGGGAAGCAGGTGGGCTGGACTCTGGCACCCTGAGCCTGCAGCTGCTCTGTGCCTGGCAGCCCTGGGCAGGGCTGGCATACTCAGAGGCTGGGCTAGGCAGGGCAGACACGCGCAGGCGACGGCCGGCACCCCAGAGGCCCTGTCACCTGGCCGACACCTCCAGGGCTACACTTCCCGAGGACCTGGTGCTCAGACATGGCCGCAGCCCCCCGGCCGAGGCTGCCTGGACCCCGGTATGAGCGGACAGTCTACCTCTGCTTCCTCGTCCGCATTTCCCGAGGCCTGGCCGCCTGGTCCCGGGAGCTCTCTGACTGCGCATGCCGGCCAGCGTGAGCCATACTGGGGCTGCTCAGGGACAGGGCCCAGCCCCCGCCATCACGCGGGCACCACCTGAGGCGGCGGGCGCCACCCCCACTGAACTGCCTGCTAAGTGGCCAAGACGGCCGGGATTCCAGGAGGCGGCCACTCCCACCGAGGGCCCCTGACTGGTGACCAAGGCTGTCTGATGCTGATGTCCGCCGCCCTTCACCCTATACCCCTGGAGGAGCCCTTACCTACGAGCTGAGAGTAGAACTTGGACGCCTCCAACAGCGAGAGCGCGTAGACCGCTGGGCTGGACAGTGCAGCGATCAGCAGCGGCCCGAGGAACGTCCTGGGGACCACGCCGGGGAACTCGAGGTGGTCAAACTGCAGAGAGAGGGCGGGTCAGCCGGGCCCCGGCTGGGTCCCCGCGCCGCTCGGGCAAGCTCACCTTCTCCACGTCCAGCCGGTGGTACAGCAGGTCGTGCACGGCCTGCAGGTTGAAGCTCTCCTCCACCTTGGTGTAGGGGCAGGCGGCCAGGTGGACGGCAGCCACCGCCAGCAGCAGCCCCAGGAGCTGGCGCTGCCCACCCAGGCCTGCCGGTCTCCTCCCAGCCATTCTGCGCACCCGCCTCCCAGACTGTCATCCGCCGTCAGCACCGCAGCGCTTGAGTGTTTCCAAAGGATGGAGACACAGGTTCCCAAGCTTCAAAACTCCGCTGGCATCAACACCTGGGAGACGTGTGTGAGGGGTAACAGGACCCCTCTGAAATACCGTAGCTTCTGTAACATGGAAACACATCAACACAAGACACTCAATGAAAGAACAATCATGCTTAAGAAACTCTCATGTTTTAACCGGTCATCTTTCTCTGTCACCTGTCTGCAAATACTCTTCCAGGAAGAAGGACCTGAGTTGCAGAGCCCGAGCTGGGTGCACTGGCAGCGGGGCCCCGGGTCGGCCCGGCCCTGGACACAGCAGGGCCGAGAAGCTGGGGTCTGGCTGGAGAGTCAGGAACATGCCGGGCTCGGCCCCAGGGCAGTAGCCCAGGCAGACAGGCTGGGGCTGTGAAGCGGGAGGGTGGGGGGCGCACCCCGAGCTCAGCAGAGCAGCAGCGATGAGCAGGGGGTGCCAGCGAAGACCCGCACCCCCGGGACTGTGTGACTGTGTTCCGAACTTTGCCCAGGAGCCTCTGAGCCCCAGGAAGCACCACGCTGGTCGTGAGCACAAACCGGTGGATGGCAGAAAGCAAGCGTGTTTCTGGGGGTCGGGGGGAGGTGCAGACAGATGCCTGCACTGCAGGCACTCACACGCCAGGAGGACTCTGGGGGTACCCCATGGAACAAAGATTCTGAAATCGCGGAGCATCCGGGCAGCTCCTACTCACGGAAAACCTACATCTTTCAACTTGGTGAGGGAGGGAAGACAACAAATTCTTCCTGTTTGTGGCTTGTCTTAAAACAGGTTTGCTTTCCTTTGAACAAAACCAGAAGGGCAAGAAGCTTAAGAAGAGAACCACAGTGCCATTTGTTAAAACTACTTTTTGGTCAGAGGGAGATGTATGAAGTCTCTGCTCTCCCAAGTCAGCAAGTGGGGAATCCACAACTGAATAAAATCTGGAGGAGGAAGAGGAATCCTGTTCAATACGGCAGTGGTGGCGAGGTGGGGGAAGTAAGGGAGTCAAGGGGGCTTTAATAATTCAGAATTACCAAATAACGCAGTTCCGAGAGAAGTAACAGAACTTGGTCCCCTTACCAAACTGTAGGGGCGGGATTTTCCTGTTTTCCCACCACTGTAACCTCAGCAAGGAGGGGCTCTGTTCATCAAGGCTCATGGCTGCATCAGCACCTGGTGCTCAGCAGGTGCTCAACAAACTACTTGAAAAACAAATTCATAAAAGCTCCTAAGTGTGGATGTCATCAGCTTACATTTTCATTCAGTTCAGTCCAGTCACTCAGTCGTGTCCGACTCTTTGCCACCTCATGAACTGCAGCACACCAGGCCTCCCTGTCCATCACCAACTCCCAGAGCTTACTCAAACTCACATTCATCAAGTCAGTGAGACCATTCAACCATCTCATCCTCTGTTGTCCCCTTCTCCTCCCGCCTTCAATCTTCCCCAGCATCAGGGTCTTTTCAAATGAGTCAGTTCTTCACATCAGGTGGCCAAAGTATTGGAGTTTCAGCTTCAGCATCAGTTCTTCCAATGAATATTTACTGATTGATTTCCTTTAGGATGAACTGGTTGGATCTCCTTGCAGTCCAAGGTACTCTCAAGAGTCTTCTCCAACACCACACTTCAAAAGCATCAATTGGTTGGCACTCAGCTTTCTTTACAGTCCAACTCTCACATCCATACATGAGTACTGGAAAAACCATAGCTTTGACTAGATGGACCACTGTTGGCAATGTAATGTCTCTGCTTTTTAATATGCTGTCTAGGTTTGTCATAGCTTTTCTTCCAAGGAGCAAGCGTCTGTTAATTTCATGGCTGCAGTCACCATCTGCAGTGATTTTGGAGCCCAAGAAAATAAAGTCTGTCACTGTTTCCATTGTTTCCCCATCTATTTGCCATGAAGTGATGGGGCTGGATGCCATGATCTTATTTTATGTTGAGTTCTAAACCAGTTTTTTCACTCTCCTCTTTCAGCTTCAAGAGGCTCTTTAGTTACTGTTTGCTTTCTGCCATAAGGGTGGTGTCATCTGTATATCTGAGGATCCTGATATTCCTCCCAGCAATCTTGATTCGAGCTTGTGCTTCATCCAGCCCGACATTTCACATGATGTACTCTGCATATGAGTGCAATAAGCAAGGTGACAATATACAGCCTTGACGTATTCCTTTCCCAATTCGGAACCAGTCTGTTGTTCCATATCCTGTTCTAACTGTTGCTTCTTTACCTGTATACAGATTTCTCAGGAGGCAGGTCAGGTGGTCTGGTATTCCCATCTCTTTAAGAATTTTGAAGTTTGTTGTGATCCACACAGTCAAAGGTTTTGGCATAGTCAATAAAGCAGAAGTGGATATTTTTTTGGAACTCCTGCTTTTCCTATGATCCAGCAACCAGTTGTGGATGTCACTGGTGATGGAAGTAAAGTCCGATGCTATAAAGAACAATATTGCATAGGAACCTGGAATGTTAGGTCCATGAATTAAGGTAAACTGAAACTGGTCAAACAGGAGATTGCAAGACTGAACATCAGTTTAGGAATCAGTGAACTGATTCCTGGAAATGGAAATGGGTGGATTTAACTCAGATGACCATTATATCTACTACTGTGGGCAAGAATCTCTTAAATGGAGTAGCCCTCATAGTCAACAAAAGAGTTTGAAATGCAGTACTTGGGTGCAATCTCAAAAAACGACAGAATGATTTCTGTTCGTTTCCAAGGCAAACATTTTCATTAAAGACACATTAAAGCTTTCATTTCCAATGACGCCGAGCAGACCACAGAACATTCACATGCCGCTCTCTGTTCCTCTGTGAGGTTAAAAAACTGTCAAGAGCTAGGAAGCATGTATAAAGCCAAGTGCTGGGAGGAGCTGCACACATGCCGCTTGGCAGGACAGCTCACCGCCGTTCCAGGCGCGTCCCTGCAGACCCCACTCCACGCCCCTGCCCGCAGCACGCTCCCCTGCAGGAAAACCTAGACTGTGACATCGCAGGGGGCTTCCCTGGGGGCTCAGACGGTAGAGAATCCTCCTGCAATGCAGGAGACTCGGGTTCGATCCCTGTGTTGAGAAGATCCCTAGAGAAGGAAATGGCAACTCACTCCAGTTTTCTTACCTGGAGAATCCCATGGACAGAAGAGCCTGGTGGGCTACAGTCCATGGGTTCACAGGAGCCGTGGGGTGAAAGCTACGTGACAAACCCTGCTCCAGGCCCTGCAGGCTTCTCCCCCAGATGAGGGTGCTCTCTGCTGATGGCCGAGAGCACAGCAGTTTATTCTGGAAGGCACTAGCAGCGCCCTGCATGCCCGCCCGGGACCAGGAGACACACAGGGCGTAAGCGGGCACACAGACCACAGAAGCCCCCACCGGGCCGAGACCGTGAGCAGATGCACCTGCACTGGTCCACACCTGCCTGCAGCTGTTCAGGCTGTTGATCCGAGCGGTTAAAACAGGCCACGACTGAGGGAACCGTCGTTTCTACGACGGAGGCCTCTCAAATTAGGAAGCGACCTGCAGAGGCCCTCCTGTCCCCGTCTATTCCGAGGTCTCGACTGAAACCGGTCAAGTCAGATGTTCACGTCACTAATTCACGGCTGGAAACACAGAAACTGGCGGAGATCAGGCCAGAGAAAACTGTCTTTTGTACTTCTTCCTTCTGGAAGTTCTGTCCTAGAGACCAGGTAATGCCCACCTTCCTTCTCCTAACTTAAACCACGGGTTTCGCCGCCAACGGCCTCGGGCACGGGGGGCGGGGAATGCGGACTCCTGGGTCCCCAGACACACTCCTCAGGCCCCAGGTGACGCGGGTGGCCCCAGGTGAGGAGCCTGGCGGTCGTCCCGCGTGCACGCGCACGGTGAGGCCCAAGGAGCCCCGCGACGGCGCCAGCCAGAGGTCCCCTCAGCCCGCCCCGAGAGCCCCAGCCGCGCGCGCTGACCTCGCCAGCCCACCGCGCGGTCCCTCGAAGCGCTCGCGCCTGGGCTGCCCACGGCCGGAACTCGGGTGGCGGAAACCAAGAGCTTCGGCGACGCCCTTGCCCGAACCTAACATGGCGGCTGAGGCTCGGTTTCCGTCGCGGACGCCCTCGCTGCCCGGAGTAAAGATGGCCGCGCCGGGCGGCGCGTGGAATAGGCGGACGCAAGGGGCGGGCCTGGGCCTCCACGCCCCCCACGCCCGGCCTCCCGGCGGGACGCTGACCCGGGGCCTTCCTATTGGTAGCCGCTCGTGGCGAGCCCGGATTGGGCAGCATGGGGGCGGAGCGGGCCTAGAAGGCCAATCGCCGCGCGAGGGCTGGCGTGGGGCGGGGCTCCAGCCGGCTCCGTTGAGTATCCCCGGGAACGGCTGGCGCTTCGGAGCCGGTGGGCGGCCGGAGGCCGGAGTGCTCGGCTGGTTCCCGCTGGACTTCGGCCCGTGCCCGCGCGGCCGCGATCCCGCGACGCAGTCCGCCTTGGCCCGCCATGCGCCCGCCGGCCCCGGCCGTGCTGGGGCTGCTGCTGCTGCTGCTGCCGCCCGGCGCGGCCACCAAGAAGCCGACGCCCTGCAAGCGCTGCCGGGAGCTGGTGGACAAGTTCAAGCAGGTGGGTCGGTCACCCTGTGGGGACGGGGGCGGGGGGCCGGGGTCGCCCCGCCGTGGCCCAGAATCACCCCCTGTGGGCCTGCGATCACCCTGCCGTGGACTGGATCATCCCGCATGGCCTGTGGTCACCCTACCATGGCCTGTGGTCACCTCATCGTGGCCTGGGTCACCTCATCATGGACTGGGTCACCCCATGGACTGTGGTCACCCCACCATGGACTAGGTCACCCCACCGTGGACTGGGTCATCTCCACATGGACTGGCTCACCCCCCCCATGGACAGGCGTGAGGCAGCAGGGCTGACCCTTGCAGCCCTCTCCCCACAGGGAATGGTGGACACGGCAAAGAAGAACTTTGGTGGTGGGAACACGGCTTGGGAGGAGAAGACGCTGTCCAAGTATGAATTCAGGTGGGCACCCTGCTCTGACTGGCCCAGCGCCCGCCTTTGGGGCCTGACGTGTCCCTGGGAGTGTCTGCAGACACAGAGGGTCCCTTGGGCACAGTCACCTGTCCTTGCCTGGGGCCAGCGTGTGGGCCTCCGACTGGCCCCTGGCTGTCGCGTCACCCTCCAAGGGGCAGACACAGGGGTCTTTTCAAAACACAAGTGGGGCTGGCTCCCTGCCCCAACCCAGAGCTCCAGCCCATTGCCAGGCTTCCCTGGGTGGACCTCACACTTGATGTCCCACCTAAGGATGAACAGGCCTCCCTGACCACCGCACCCTCTGCGTTTAGCTCTCTGCCTGGCAGTGATGCCCCCAGGCCCCAGCTGGGTTTTGTCAGGGGTCTGTTTTCACTGAACACCAGCGTGGCTGCGGCGTGGCAGCAGGGGGCCTGCAGTCATTCTGGAGAGTGGTCGCTGACCGCTAAGGTGCGCACGCGCCCGCCTCACGGTGCTGCCGGCCCTGTGTTTCAGCGAGGTCCGCCTGCTGGAGATCATGGAGGGCCTGTGTGAGGCCAGCGACTTCGCGTGCAACCAGCTGCTGGAGGAGCAGGAGGAGCTCCTGGAGGCCTGGTGGCTGCGGCTGTGAGTGCGCAGGGCCCGCGCCCGTCATGCCCGGGGTTCGAAACGCACTGGAGACAGTGGGGCTTCCACACACCTGATTTCTCCCTCAACCACATTCCCGTCCTGTTCCACCCAAGTGCAGCGATCCTGACGAGGGAGTTAGCTGGGAGAGTCTGCTGGCCACAGGCCCTCATTTCCCGAGTCCCACGATGCTCAAAAGTGCTTTATGTTCAACTGTGGTTTTGTTTTGAGGAAATCCGCCACGTGAGACTCAGTGGATGCTGTTTACGTTCTCAGGAAGAAGAAGCATCCTGACTTATTTGAATGGTTTTGTGTGCAGACACTGCAAGCTTGTTGTTCTCCGGGGACTTATGGGCCGGGCTGCCTGGGTATGTCTTTCCGTGGGGACCCTCGAGTGTCTGCGTGGTTCCTGTCCTGGCTCCAGGGGCGGCGGCTCCCACAGGCCTGGGTGCTGCCCCCTCCCGACTGCAGGGACCTTCTTCGCTGGTCTGGTCCCAGGTGTGCTCCCAGCTCACCCCTGGGTTCATCGTAACTCACTGCCTGGCCCTGCCCGCTGCGTGAGAGGAGGCCCACGGCCAGCAGAGCCCTGTGCGAGAGGCCGGGGTGTCCAGCCTTCAGGGTTCCGCCCAGGCATCATGGGCACGTTCAGGTGGATCACCCAGGCGGAGAGCATGATCTTGGCACTTAGACCCCGCCCCACCCCCCCACTGTCCTGCTGGTGTGTGGCCGCAGCGGGATGTCCTCACTGTCCCCTCCTCGGTCCCATGTCCCCGGTGAGGCCAGAGCCCGTGTGTCCTGGAGAAGGGGCAGAGCGGGCCTGGGGTTGCAGCAGGACTCGGAGCGGGGGCTCCCCGGGGCCGCCTCTGCTCCCAGGCGCCCCCTGAGCAGCTCGTGTCCCCAGCGTGCCAGGGCGGGTCCGAGCGGCCCTGCAGCGGGAACGGCCACTGCAGCGGAGATGGCACCCGAGAGGGCGACGGGTCGTGCCAGTGCCACCTGGGCTACCGGGGGCCCCTGTGCGCCGACTGCGCGGACGGCTACTTCCGCTCGCCGGGGAGTGAGGCGCCCAGCATCTGCTCAGGTACTGGCAGTGCCCACGGGCCCGGAGCGGGGCTGCGATGGCGGGGGGCGGGGCCGGGGCCGGTCCTGCTTTTGGTCCCTGAACAAGGCGCGGACGGAAGTGCAAGGTGATGCCCCGGGATGGCCTCCTGGGCCGGCAGCGCGGCACCACCAGCTCCACGACAGCCACGCTGGGCCTGGGCGCTGTGTCCTCTGGGAGGCTCGCGCGGCCCTGCTGCCCCGGCGGGAGGCTCGGCGCCGGCGGGAGCGGGCTAGTTGTGGCTGCAGTGCTCTGGGCTGGGTCTGCGGAGCCCCTTCCGGGGGCCGGTGGTGTGACTGAGAGCCGCACAGCAGAGGCCATGCAGTGTGGCCCCCGGGTCCCCGTGAGGAAGGCACGCCACCTCGGTTACCCTGTTGGGAAGGGCAGGCCCCCACGGGGGTCTTTGGAGGCGCCCCGGCCCTTGTCCCAGGCTCACTCGTGAGTTCCAAGATGTGCCCATGGGGTCCCACAGATGGGGTCTTCTCAGCTGGGATGGACATGCCAACCCTTCCACTGGGGGAGGCCCGCGCCCCGCTCATGAGGCTGTGTCAACCCAGGGCAGCATCCAACGACGTGTAAATCCAGGGAGGAGGCCACAGGGGACGTCTGTTTCCTCGTTGGCTGTCACTGCCTCCGGGGGAAGACTGTGGTGGGCCGTGGCAGTCAGGTCTGGGGGCTGGTGCCATGCCCTCGGGCCTGCCCGCAATGAGGCCAGCCGCCCCGGTTCCCACCTGAGACCTCCCCGGGCCTGGCAGGATTGCGTGTGTTGTCAGGCGGCATGCACATCCAGCCAGGTCTGGGCTCCAGGCTCACGAGCAGCTCCTCTGAGTCCTCATTTGTTAAGAATTTTATCACCACCGGGCATGGGAATCCCCACGTGTTGTCTTTTCTCATTAAGTCCAGTGTTGCGAGTTACATGAGTCTTTTTCTGTTATTGAATCAGTCTTGCCTCTTTGGGATTTTTGCTTATTTTCACCCTAACAAATGTCAGTTGCTAAGGCCCAAAATGACCTTTGCATTCAGTTTTCTCCTGAGACGTGCCTGCCTCTGCCTTGCAGCCTGTGACGAGGCGTGTAAGACATGCGTGGGCCCCACCAACAGGGACTGTGACCAGTGCGAAGTAGGCTGGGTGCGCCAGGACAACGCCTGCGTGGGTGAGGCTGGCAGGCGGCCCTCCCCTCCACGCCCCCCACCCCGGACCCCTGCCCCCCGTGGGCTCTGCCAGCCCAGCACCCCCAGGACACACCACGCTCTGCCTGCTGTGGACGTGCTGGGGGAGACTGGCGTCCCCAGTTGTGCTTTAAGGGGTCACAGGTGGAGGCTGAGTTTGTGGGTGGGCGCTCTTGGCCACGGGCGGGACGTCCGCGAGGACCCTCTGTGGCCTGGACTCCGGGCTGGGAGGGTGGCCCACAGCCTTGCTGTCTGTGGCCTTGGGGGTCCTGTTGGCTCAGGAGGGGAGCCTGCCTCAGGCCTAGTCACGTCCCCTTGGGCCCTGCGGGGCTGGCAAGGTGACGCTGCAGGGAGGGGGCAGCCTCTGAGTGGTGACGGCACAGTCCCGTGCTCTGGAGGCCCCTGACCAGGTTTCCTGGCCTCCCATCACCCACTGCCCGCTCTCAGGTCTCGCCTGGACCTCAGCCCCGCCCGCAGCATCTCAGGGCCTGGGGCGGGTCCCTGTGCTGCCCGGCTGCGCCAGGGGGTCCGGCCCTGGGTTTGGTTTCAGCCTCCCAGCTGGCGGGCGTGGTGGCCCCCGCGGCCTTGAGGAGGGGCTCGCGCTCAGCCGCTGCGCTGTGCCCACGCACGCGGAGGCCCTGGAGGACGGCCGTCCACGTGTCCCCAGGCAAGGGGCCCCCTGCCGGCACTCAGCGGTGATGTTGTTTCCAGATGTGGACGAGTGTGCGGCGGAGCCGCCGCCCTGCGAGGACACGCAGTACTGCGAGAACATCAACGGCTCCTTCGTGTGCGAGGGTGAGCGCCGCCCGCCGCCCCGCCCCGCCCCCGCCTGCCCTGTCCTCCCGTCCCCACCTCCTCCCCGGTCCGTCCTCCCATCCTGCCAGCTCCCCAGACCTTTGTAGTTTGTCTGCGTGACCCCTGCACGCGCTGCCCACTTTAAAGCTTAAGGTGGCAACACGAGTACTGGCCGTTTCCCGACCGTCAGGAAGCTCAGATGAAAGACGGCAGCGGCGCCCACTGGCGGGAGGGCCCTGGGGTCAGCACAGCGCTGACCTGATGCCGTGCCGTGTCCCCTGTCCGATTTTCCCTCAACAACACCGTGACCGCATTTGTCCATCGCGTTTCTCTGCATCGTGTCATTAGGAGCGTGCTGATGTCTGTTCCTCCTCAGCCCACATGGTTGACGGTTTCAGCCACGCATGTTCTCCGGTTACAGACTTGGAGGGCCCTGTAGGTAGAGCTTTTCACGCTGCTCCTCACTTTCCCTGCGTCAGTCTCCGAGTGGGGCCGCCCGCCCCAGAGCTGGGCCCCTTCCTCGCCCAGCAGCGGCCCGTGTGGCTCACGCCCCCGCGGCATCCTGTCTCCGTGCTCCACAGACGCACCATGTGCCCCAGAAGCGTCACAGGAACGCAGGCAGTGTGCCGGGGGCGGCACGGGGGCCACCCCTCCAAGGACGGGGACACCGGCTCTTGCAGCCACAGGGCCTCCACCGCCCCGCGCGCGGCTGCCGCAGGATGAGGCTCTCATGTCGTCACCCCCGGCCCCGTTGCAGAATGTGACCCCACCTGCGTGGGCTGCACGGGGAAGGGCCCCGCCCAGTGTAGGGAGTGTGTCGCCGGCTACAGCAAGGACAGCGGCCAGTGTGAAGGTCAGCGGGTGCGTCTCTGCTCCACCGGGGGGCCTTCCCGGGGGCCACGCGCCAGCCCTGCCCTCACGCCTCTGCCTGTCCCCTGCCAGACGGCCGCCCGGGGCTCCCTCCTCCAATGCTCGTCCCGTCTCCGCCTCTGTGCGCGAGTGAACCCCTCGACCACTGCCGGGCCTGTGCGCCCGGCAAGGTCACCTGTGCAGTGGAGTGTTCTCATTTAGACATTGATGAGTGCTCGCTGGCGGAGAAGCCCTGCCTGAGGGACGGCGAGAACTGCTACAACACGCCCGGGAGCTTCGTCTGCGTGTGCCCCGACGGCTTCGAGGCGGCGGAGGACGCCTGTGTGCAGACCGGGCCGGCGGGGGCTGGTGAGGACACCTCAGCCACCTCTGCACGCACGTGGCCGGGGGCTGGCGGGGGTTCCCGCAGCGTGGGGGGGTCCTGAGAGACGAGCACGCGGGGGGCGGTGGGGGAGTGCCCTGGGCGCCCTGAGCGCGCCACAGCCCCGGCGGCTTCGACCCCAGAGACCTGCAGGCAGGATGTCTGAAGTCAGGTGTTCGGGGCTGCCTCCCCCGAAGGATGTCGGGAGCATCCTTCCCACCTCTTCCGGCTCTGGGGGTCACTCCTGGCGTTCCTGGGCTGGCAGCCGCGTCCCTCCGGCCTCTGCCTCTGTGGTCTCGTGGCCTTCGCCCCTGGAGTCTGCGTCCACAGTTCCCTCTGCTTGTGGGGACACCGCTCATGGGCTCAGGGCCCCCCCGTGACCTCAATCACCTGTAGGGACCCTATTTCCAAGCAAAGTCACGTCCATGGGTGTCCCGTGGGGGGTACAGTTCTTCCAAGATGGTCCCAGACGCGTCCTGGGGGCCATGGGACGTCTGCAGGACGGTGGCTGGGCCTCCAGGAAGAGCTGAGGCCCCGGCGGGACCATGGGGGGCCCAGCAGGCGGCAGAGAGCAGGGCCCAGAGGGGCTGCAGCCACCCCGCTCAGACCCGAGCACCCAGGCTCACCATGCAGGCTCTAGTCTCGTCTGGGCTGAGCGAGGCTGGGCTGCCTCGCCAGCTCCCCGTCTCCTGTCTCAGGGCCCCCGCCCCACTCTGGGGAGACACCCCAGCTGGGCGGGCCCCCCATGGCAGCAGGCAGGCCGTCCACTCGCCGCCACGGCTCCTGCGGGGCCCCTTGTGCCAGGATTTTACCCAACGATCTCTGTTTTCTGACAGAAGCCACGGAGGCAAGTCCGACGCAGCCCCCCTCCCGGGAGGATTTATGACGAGTGCAGTGTTGGCCACGCCGCCCCTAACTTATTCAGACTCGTCCCGATGGGCCCAATGCCAGTCGCTGGCTCCAGGGGGCTCCTTCCCAGAATGGCCGGTGCTCACTGGACCCTTCAAAAGCTGCGTTTCTTGGCTGTTCTTAAACAGATTTGTATATTTTGATACCGTTCTTTATAATAAAATTGGCCACTGAAGGTAATTAGGCAGAGAACAGGTGTGGGTTTGTCTTGTTAAAAACATCTGGACGCTTTCGAATGGAGTTTGCCCAGTCCTGGAGCCCCAGGCCTGCGGGGGCCCCCAGGGGTTCCTGTTGCTCACCCCCAAAGGCTTGCAAGCACCAGCGGAACGTTGATCAGGGGGTTCAGGGCCCCCCGTGGGCCCTAGAGTGAGTGTCGTCAGGGACCCTGGGGGAAGAAGTCAGAGGAACCCCCAGGGCCAGGTCCCCACATAGGGAGGAGGCGCCCTGCCCCCGGGCCCGGCCTGTGCTCTGCCGTCCGCCCGGCAGTGAGACCACGGCTGCCCTCGGGGTCTCCCACCCTCAGGCCCTCGGCGCCCCCGCCCCCAGCCTCCCTTCTGCCCGTGTCACCCTCTCCCGCGGTCCTGGCCCTGAGGACAGTCCCCGTGCCCCTGGCTGCCCCTGGGCGCTCAGCCCCAGCCAGGCACCCGCCTGGGTGCCGGGGTGGGGCGCCTACGGCAGGACTCTACCCCGGGGCGCCTCGCTGGAGGGGGGCACAGCACCAAGGCCTCAGGCCCGCCAGGCCCTGCAGCTGGCTCCACCGGCTCCCTCAGCTCTTGTGGGGTTCCAGGACGGCCCCACGGGGGGACAGGCCAAGCCTGAGAGCTGGGCCAGGGCCTGGGTGCTGGGAGAGGTGCTGGCGGGTTGGTGGGGGGAGCCCTGGCCTGGGGCGCTGCGGGGAGGCGGCGACCCGAAGGCTCCCGAGGGGAGAGAAGCCTCCTTGCCAGCTGTGGGCCGGCAGGCCCACGGGGTGGACAGTCCCTGTCCAGTGTGGGGCCCAGGCCTGGGTGCCAAAGCCTCCCCCCGGAGCTGCATGACCCGAGCCAGGAGCCGCCCCGCGTCCAGCTGGAGCCCGACGGTCCCTGTCCTCACTGTGGGGGATGGCGCGCAGAGCCCCAGGCAGACCAACTGCTCACCCGTGGCGGGGTTAGCTGGGTGCCTGCCTCGCCCCCTCCAGGGTACCAGCCAGTACCCTGAGGGGACGGGTCACCTAGCAGTGGGGGGGTGGGCCCTGGCTGGCGGCCCCCACAGCTTTGGACTCAAAAGTTGCACCCTGGCCTGAGCCCCGCAGCTGGCTCCCCTGTGACCACTGCGCTGGCCAGTGGGGCCTGGGGGTCCTCTCCCCGTCCCCTCCCCGCCTTCCTGCGGTGCCACACACACACCCCCCCCAGATCACCTCCCGGACACTAACGGGCCTGCGCAGCCTGGGGAGGGACGAGGCCCGCTGGGCACCTCCCTGCTGGCAGCAGCTGCGGCCACAGCCCGGGGGAACCATGGGTCCTCAGCTGTCTGCTCTGGGACCCCCTGTCAGCCCCTTCACTGGGCCTGCCCCACTAGGGCAGAGCACGCCAGGCGGGCCTGGCTCCTCCATCGTGCCCGGCGTGGTCCCACGCCAGGGCCTCCGCATTGCCGTCTCTCCTGCTGGGAACGTGCGGGGTCTGCTCCCCCATCTGCTGGGGTCTCTGCTCATGTGGGGGGTCCGGGGGCGCTGTGGCTCCCTGCCCTCTCAGCCCCTCCTGGGGCGGCACCAGGAGGCACAGCCCCTCACTGGAGCTGGGTCACCCCGGGGCCCAGGCCCCCTGAGGACGCCCTTAGCCCCTTCCCAAAGCCCCACATGCCCAGGGGGGTGTCTCTGCACCCAGCAGGGCTTCCTGCCCCCACCCGACCCCCCAGGCCGAGGTCTGGAGTCAATGGTTAACACCCCAGTCTCAGTTTTTCCATCTGTAGATGGGAGCAGGGCCTCACCAGACCAGGCCAGGAGCTCAGGGTGCCCACGCTGCCCACAAGCAAGGCGTAAGGACGTCAGCACTGGGGGGCTGAACGGTCCTGGCCTCCCAGAGGGCCTGGCTCCGCCGGTCACCGGGGCGGCCCGGCGGTGACTCCTGTGCACACCCCGCGGCAGCCCCTCCTGGGAAGCAGGTGGACGGTCTGGCCGGGTGGATTGATCAGCCCCTGCGCCCGGGGCCGAGGGGCGGGAGTGGCCAGCAGGTGGCGCTGCGGAACCACCTCCAGGCCCGTCTGCCTCGACCGCCGAGTAGGGGGCCGCCCTGGGCGGAGTCTGGGGACAGGCTGTCGTCACGCTGAGGCCTCGGGGGTCCCGAGAGCCCCAGGCCCGGCCCTCGGGGCGACCCATCCAGTGAGGGGCCGTGCCTCCTCCCGCCTGGTACCGCCCCAGGACGGGCTGACAGGGCTGGAAGCCACAGCGCCCCCGGACCCCCTCGGGGACCCCTCCTCCTCCTCCTCAGGGTCACAGGGTGCAGAGCCCCTCCCTGCCTCCCAGCCGGACGACCTGCCCAACGTCCAGTCAGGCTCAAGGACCAGGGGGCAGGTTCGCTCACCCTCTGGGCCCCGCAGGAGGCCAGGAGCCTCAGGGGAGCCATGATCAGGCTCCGTGGGCTGGCGCTCAGACTCCTGGGGCTGCGTCCACCACCCCCTGGACCCTGGGGCCCCCGCACCACACACAGTCCTGGGGCTGCCTCCCTCCCAGCCGGCCTTCAGCAGGCCGTCACACGCCCCATGGGCAGGCGCTTCTGGAAGCATGCAGCCAGTCCCGGCCGCCCACCCTGGCTTTGCTGCAAAGTGGGTCCTTCTATCTGATGGGGCTGCACAGGGGGACACGGGCAGTGTCTAGGGACACTTCTCACGGGGTGAGGGGGCTCCCGGCTCGAGTGGACAGAGACCAGCAACGCAGCTCGACACACCCAGGAGCCCAGGACGCCTCACACGTCGGCCCCGGGGGAGCCATGTCCGGGCGCCCCTCTCCTCAGGGGAGTCACGGCGGGCAGACAGCCCCCTCCTGCCCTCAGAGTTGTCTGGAGGACCTCCCCTTCCCCCACCCCACCCCCCACGGGGCCCCCTGAACGCAGGGCAGGGACACCACGCCCTCCTGCTCTGCACCCTGTCCAGCTGAGTGCCGACTGGCCCTGGCCTGAGCAAGGGAGTGAAAGTCGCTCAGTCGCGTCAGACTCTTGATGACCCCGTGGACTGTAGCCCGCCAGGCTCCTCTGCATGGAATTCTCCAGGCTAGAATACAGGAGTGGGTAGCCTTTCCCTTCTCCAGGGGATCTTCCCAACCCAGGGATTGAACACAGGTCTCCCACACTGCAGGCGGATTCTTTCCCAGCGGAGCCACAGCAGAAGTCCCTGGGTCCTGAAGCAGAGTCTAAGCCGGACGTCTGGCTCAGCGCCCGAAGGCCCAGGCCCGTGTGTCCTCCTTCCTTTGTGGTGGCGCGCTCTTGCTTTGGGGGGCTTGACCCTGCACCCGCACAGGGCCCGTCTCTGCCTAGAGGGCACGCATCCTGCAAAGGCCCCAGTGCACTCTGCACTCTCTGGTCACCTGGCCTGATCAGCACACGGCTGCTGACGGGCGACTGTGGGCCGGAGAGGCCCAGTGCCCTGAGCGGCTGCGTGTTCGCTCACGGTGACCTACACTGTTTCTGACCGCCCTTCCGACGAGGCTGCGGGAGAGCGTGCCCCGCCCCTGGCCACTGCACAGCTGCAGCTGTGGACGCTGACTTGAGCGAACTAAGCAAAGACACCACGCTGGCCAAGGTGGGCCTCTCGCAGCTGTCCACACCCTGGGACCCATCCCTGCCTTTTCTGTCGTCAGACTTGCAGCATAAGTAGAGACCTGGAGGGACCACCACCCTGCATTCTCTGGGCTTCAAATGCTCCACCAATCACGCCCAGGTGTTGGGTTTGACTCGCAGTCTTGGGTGGGGGCACTTGCAGAGGCTTCCCCTGGACTTATCTGTGACAGTGGCCAAGGCAGTGATGTCCTTGGCCACTAAGTCTGTCTGCTCCCTGTCTGTTCTGGGCCTGGGATGTGCCCACGGGGTCCACGTACAGACCCTGGCTGAGAGCCCGCTTGTCTCTGGGCTCTCGTGAGCCCCCTACTCAACAGAGGAGCCAGGAGGGTGCTCTGGGCCTCAGGATCCCGCTGCAACCGTGGCCAGCGGTCCTCAGATGTTTGCTGTCTCTCCTCCCCACCACACTCAGCTAGGGGTCCCGGGGAGGTCCCTGGGGACCCGCCTGCTATTCAGGTGGGTCCTGGGTCTGAAGCCTCAGGTCTGGGAACCAGGCAAGGGGTAATAGCCTTTCACGGGGCCCTGGTCACACATCCTTGGTTTCTCCTGCTGGGCCGCCAGACCAGTCCTGGGAACACTGAGTTCTGTTAACTACAACCTCAGGCACCTCAGGCCCTTGGCCCAGCTCCAGGCCTGCCACTCCCGAGAGCTGCACCCACCTACCCAGTCAGGCGCCCTCAGCTCCTCGCCACTGGTCCTGGGACGGCCTCTCCACCGGCAGCAGGACGGTGGGAGCCCTGGCAGGCGCCTGCTGCAGCTCCGTGCCCACGTTGGCCCCAGGCTTTCAGCCCCGGCCACACATCAGCTCTGCCAGCCTCTCCCTGGCCGCCAGCACTGTGACCGCGTCGCCTACTGGGGGTGCGCTCTGGGCCTGGGGAAAGGCCCTGCTCTCAGGGGGCTCCCCTCGTCCGCCTGGCACCTGCTGCTGGGCCCTGAGGCTCTGCTGGGGGCCAGCATGTCCCCTCCAGGTGATGTCACCACTTGGGCCCAGAAGGGAGATGGGCAGGTCCCGACGGCAGGGCTCACATCTTCAAGGGGTGCCCGATGGAGGCGTGGCCAGCGATGGGGGCCTTGCGGGTCACCAAGGGCCCACTCCCTCGGGCAGTGCCTGGCTGGGGGCTCTGCCCTCCTGGAAGCTGACCCCTCCTCCGCCACCGTCTTTTCCCAGAGCGCCAGCCCACGACACCCCTGCTCCACACTCTAGATGGTCGGACCCTGCGCAGCTACGCAGCACGTCCAAGGTACCAGCGACCACGGACACCAGACTGCGGCCAGCGGCGGCGGCCGGTGGGCCTTTCTAGCTCCGCCCCTTATAGCCCCGCCCCTCCGCCCGGCCCCGCCCCTCCGAGCCGGTTCCCAGAGGAGCCGCCGCGAGTCCTCAGCTGACCCCCAGGGAGGGTGAAGCCGGATGGCCATTGAGAGGTGTTCAAGCTGCGGCGAGGGCGCTGGGCCCCGACCCCCCTGGACTCTGCCTGGGGAAGGAGCATGGCGGGGGCCAGGTGACCTCTGGCCGAGGTCAGGGCTCCAGGGGCCCAGGGCCAGGTCCAAGCAGCCTGGTGCAGGCCGTTCCTTCCCACCCGGGACCTCCAGGCCGCGAACCCTGGCACCAGCCCGGACCTTGCTCCTCTTCGCACGCCCGGTCTCCCCTGTGGGGGCTCACGGTGGAAGGGGGCGCACTTCCCTGACCCCTCAGGCCCTCCGGGGTACCCTGGCACAGGGCTGCCCTCTGCGGGTGAGCCTCCCTCACTGTCCCCCACGGGGGCCACTGCCTTGGGGACTCCTAAGCCACCACTGGGCGCACAAACAGGCCTTCCCAGACCGGGCCCCCGGATCCTGCGGGCTCTCCTGACCTCTGCCTTTCAGCCCCACCCGTGGGTGCCTGGAGATGCAGACAGGCAGGCCTGGGAGGGGGCTGGGGCTCGGGGCCGCCACGCGGGACAGGACAGCCATGCAGTGGGATGACCCAGGTCAGGACGTGGTGGTGCCGTCACCCTCGGCATGTCCACCGCCGGCCTGACGGGCCTGGGGGAGGGGGCATCGGGACCAGGGCAGGGTGGCACAGACGGCCTCGGCCTGGGGGCTGCCCTGGGGGCAGTGGCTGGGTTCTGAGGGTGGACGGGACCAGCCTTGGGCCTCTGTGGGTCAGGCTGGCGTTCGGGCCACAAGCCCCCTCCCTGCCCAGGGTCCTCAAAGCCCTTCCCTGTGGCTGGGATCATCCTGGACTCCAGGCCGTCTGGCTCCGCACCGCCGGAGGGTCAGCCCGGACTGACTGGACCCCCCCCCCCCCCCTTCAGAGACTGCTCCTCCCAGCTGCGTGCAGAAAAGCCCTTCCAGAGAGACGTTTCCAAATGACATCATCGGGGCTGGCCCGGCCACTCGCACCAGCCACGTTCCGTCCAGCCCGGCCATCCTGTCAGCTGAGCCACCGAACAGGCATCAGCAGCAGGGTCTTCCTGCACCCACATCCCTACGACCAGGGGGCGTCGGGGGTCTGCTCCAGGGCAGGGCTCCGCGGAGGGAGGCCCTGCGTCCAGAACTGTCCCCAGAAAATGAACGGGGGACGGCGGGAAAAGTTATCTGATCCCTTGCCCCATTCTCCCCTGAAGGCCCAGGGGGCTCCCAGCCGGGTCCACGGCAGCGCCCCCCAGGCCGCAGTTTCCCTGGACGCAGTCCGCCGGCCCTCCGAGGGCCGGCCAGTGGGCCGCAGTGTCCGAGCCCGGGACGGGGGCGCGTGGGAGCCCCTGGGCAGCTCGGCCCCTCGGGAGACCCCGCGGCTAAGAAGGTGCCAGCTCCCCTCCGCGCCCCCCACCCTCGCCTAGCCCCGCCGCCGGGGAGGGTTGGCCGTGGCCCCCAGAGCTCCCCCTCGCGGAGCAAGAGGGCCGCCGGGGCGGGGAAGGGCTCGGTCCGCCGGGAAGGGGGCGGCGCCGGAAGCGTCCGCCAGGCCCCCCGCGGGAGGGGCACCAGGCCGGGGGCGCGGTGAGCCCGGCGCGGGGGCGCGGGGCGGCCAGTCCGGGGCGGAGCGACCGGAAAGGAGAGCGTCCGGCCCGCCCCCTCCCCGCCCCTCGGCGCTCCCCTCCCCTCGGCGCTCCCCGCCCCTCCCCTCCCCTCCCCTCCCCTCCCCTCCGCTCTCCCCTCCCCTCCCCTCTCCCCTCCCCTCCCCTCTCCCCTCCCCTCCCCTCCCCTCCCCTCCCCTCCCCTCCCCTCCCCTCCCCTCCGCTCTCCCCTCCCCTCCCCTCTCCCCTCCCCTCCCCTCTCCCCTCCCCTCCCCTCTCCCCTCCCCTCCCCTCCCCTCCCCTCCCCTCCCCTCCCCTCCCCTCCCCTCCCCTCCCCTCCCCTCCCCTCTCCCCGCCCTTCCCGGAGTGCCGGGCGGCGGCGGTGACGCCGGGTTTCGGGGCGGCGCGTGCGCGCTCGGCCGCGACCTTCTCGGAACGCGCTCGGCGCCAGGTGGCCGCGGGCGGGGCGCTCGCGCTGCTTCTGACGTCACGGGAGTTCCCGCAGGAAACGGTCCGCGTGGGGCGGGCGGGGGCGGCAGACGCCAGGTCGGTGGGCGGCAGAGCCCGAGGCCTGCGCCCTGGGTCCTGCGTGTCCTCCGCGCCGGGGCCCGCACAGCTCTCCTTCCGCGGGGAGCAGAGGCGGCCCCGACGGGCCCTCGTGGGACCTGTGACCGGACTCAGGGAGCCCCCACCCCGGGGGGCCGGAGAGCAGGGGCCCCCACTTCACCCTGCGCCCTCCGTGGGCCCAGGTCGGACTCGTTCTCGGAGCTGAGGCTCCCTCTGTGGTCTGAGACAGCTGCCCCGGAGCGTGACCCTAGGTCCCAGGGAGCCGGGGGTGACCGCCCTCACGTCCGTGTACTGGCCCTCCTGCAGGCGGGGTCGCCCTGCAGGGTCGCCTGGGGCGCTGTAACACCCCCCCCCCCCGTCCCCCACCCCCCACCCCGGCCTCGGACTAGAAGCGAGGTTATGACCGAGCGCACAGGCCCGCCTCCGTCGGCCTCCCGACCCCACCTCCACCCTCACCTTGCTGCCCGCTGACCCCGGGTGCGAGGGCCGATCTGAGCACCCCTCCTCCTTCTGGGGTCCTTCCCATTTCACAGGCCCCCACCATCAGCACGGCTCTCTAGGGTGAAGGGTGGGAGAGGGGCGGGGACACCAGCCTGGGACCCCCACCGCTGCCGCAGGTGAGCTGCCCGGGGCTCAGCTGTGGCCAAGAGAACAGTGGCCCTTGTCCGGCCTCCGCGGTGGGGGCTGGGGTACCAGCCCCGGGTGTCTCGGGCGGAGAGTGGCACCCGCCCCCACCCCACCAAGTCATATTGTCCATTCACCCGCCACCCTCACTATTAATAGCTCCTCTCCGCAGCGGAGCTACTATAAATAACCCCCAGCCCCTCACACAAGGCCGTTCAGGCGCCTGCCTCCCGCGCACAATCGCCCACACACGCCAGCACACTGGCTCCTCAGCCGCCTGCCGGGCGCTGAGCCCACTCCTGGCCAGCTCCGGGTTGGGAGCGGGCGCTCCTGCAGCCCAGCTGAGGCCAGGGTGCTGTTTGCATGCCCACCTTCCCTAAGGCCACCAAGCCAAGGAGCCTGGAGCCGTGCTAGGTCCTCCCTGGCGGGTCTGGCCTGGCCTCCCTTCTGGGGGAGGTGGGCACACCCAGCCTGCCCCTGTGGCTGCACTCAGGCACTGGGGCATCTCAGAGGCCCTCTCTGACCCGCATCTGGGGGAGCGGGAACCATGGTGTCCACTCGGCTGAATGCCCCAGGAGGCACCCTGAGTCAGCCTGAGGCAGACGCTGCTCCCTCTGAGGAGACCAGCCTGTGGGGGCTTCGTCCTGCCCCGCTGCACTCAGGGCCCTGCCTTCCCTAGCCCCTGCCCCCAACTCTGGCTCTCGTGGACCCCAGGCTGGCCTGCCCTCCCCTCCCGCCTGTCCCAGGAGACGGGCAACACTGAATTCCTGGCCCCTGCTTGTCCCTGGGGACTCATCAAAGGTGGTCAAGCCACGACCCCTGTTCACACAGCGGCAGGATGGCCCCTGGCTGGGACAGTCTCCCCGACAGGACCCTGTGGCTGGTCATGCCCAGGGCCTGCGTTGGGGGGCTTGGAACCCGCTGTTATTGTGCCAAGAGGAGAAAGAAAACAACCCTGTTTACGGAAAAGGCACGTCCGCTGATGCTGGCCAGCGGCCTCCCCAGGGACAGAGGCCCTTTGTTGGGAAAACAGGAAGCGAGGATTTCCAGGACCTGTCGGGCCACCCGCCGGCCACCCGCCCAGCTTCCGCCAATTCTCAGCAGCTTCTGCCTGTCGCCAGCTGCCGTCAGTCCGTCTCCTTGTCTGTGTGTCCCTCTGAGCCGGAGGCCCAGGCTTCCAGTTTTAAGGCAAAGCTGCTGTCGTCTCAGCCCCACAGTCAGGGTTGTGTCCTGGGGGCTGCCCTCTCTGGCACAGTGCGCCCAGGTCACATGGAGACGGATGCCAGAAACCCTGGGTAATGCCTCCCAGCAGAGCCCAGCCAGGCCCCACCTGGAGACCCCCAACATCAGGAGACGCATGTGGGAAAGGGAGTCTGTTAGGTCACGACCAGTAGGGGTGTCCGTGAGGGCAGCCTCGGAGCTAAGACCCAGGGGCACAGAGAAGGCCAGTGCCAGCCACATGTGGGGAAGAAGGGCGGGGGCAGAGGGGGTGGCCAAGGCGGCCTGAGGTCCCCTCCTGCCCGAGGGCCCTGTAGGGTCTCAGAGTCAACGGTCACCAAGCTGCTGCTCCCCAGGCCGTGGTTCCCACACCGTTCAGCCAGTGGGTCCACCACGGCGTGGGCAGGTATACACACGTGTGACTCACCCTCACACCAGCCCCCACACGTTCTCACGTACACGTGCACCGGCACGGGAAGGGCCCCATCCCCAGCACCCCTGCACCCACGTGTGCCAGACTCGGGCCCGCCACCCCCCCCACTTCCGACTCACATCTGCTGGGGCCAGCTGGCTCCCCCGGGCGCCGGCCCGAGCCGGCCTGCCCCGTGCGGCTGGGAGGTGCCGCTGGGTGCCTGGCGCTGGGCAGCAGTGGCGACTGCTCCCCGCCCCCAGCCTGCACAGAGGCGGCCCGCCCCGGCCCAGGGCCAGTCCGCCTGCTCCGGCCGTGACCTCCCTCCTGTCGGGTGGGTGGCTGTCCAGGGACGTCAGGGAGGAGGGACGCCGCGGGCACGTTGGCTCCATGAGCCCCGGGGTCCGGCCTTCGGGCAGGTGCCTGATAGCCCTTGTACCATCCGCTGCCCACCTCTGCCTGCCCACGTGCATCCCTGGGGTGGGCAAGAGATGATGCCCACCAAAGGGGAATGCCCTGGCCTAGAGGGCTCCCCCAAGCTGGCGTCTTCCAGGCCCGGTGGTCAACCCTTGCCCACCCACGTCCTAATATGGCCCCGTCTTCAGTCAGCTGGTAAGACGGTGTTTGGACCCCCACCCAAGCCATCTAGAGTTTCTCATGTTCCTTCTTTACTCAGCCATCGAAATAGGAAGGTGCTGAGCTGGGTCATGCCAGGCCTAGACTGGAGGGGCAGGGCTGAAGCCTGGGCAGTGACCGTCCTGGGCTCGCGGGCAGCCGACGCCCGGGATGCCCCGGCCCGTGCTGTGGGACGGCTGTGTCCAGTCTGCTTTCTCCATGGGGACAGAAAAGAGCACGTTCAAACTGTGGCCACGCACGCTCCCCGAGCCCACCGGCCTCCCCGCCTCCAGCCACATGCCCAGCGGTTCTGCTCAGAACACCAGCCCAGCCCATGCCATCCAGTCGCAGCGGGAAGTCCGGGGGCAGCGGGCGCTGCAGGGCCGGCCCGGCGACTGACCGGGACCCCGCGGGGCTGAGAGGCCTAGCCTCGGCCCCCTTTCCTCCCCAGAGCGCGGTGGGCGCTGCTCGCCCTTGGCGGGCACGAAGCTCCCACCGGGGTCCCACCACAAGAGCGCACCCTTCCCTGTGAGAATCCAGCTCAGGGGTCGCCCCAGCGGAACAGGCGTCCATGCCAGTTACACACACGGGGACTGGAGGACCGGCCAGTGTGGTCCGCAGGCCTCCCGCCCTAACGAGGACCCCAAGGGCCCCCGCTCTAACGGCCACGACGCGCCTCAGGTCTCCACACCCCGGCGCCCACACAGACCCTGTGTCCTCCCGCGGGTCCTTCGCTGGAAGCCCGCGGGGCTGGGCTGTCCACCTCCCCCCGACACTGAGACGCTCAGCCGTGGGCTGGGAGCTGCCCGTGGCAAGAGGGCCCCGGGCGGGCTGCGGGCGGAGTGCTGGGGGCAGGACCCGGGTCACCGTGGGCCCCTTGGCTGCCCTGCCGGCCGGCGTGGGATGGGGGCCAGGGAGGGTCATCCAAGCGAGATGGGACGGTGACAAGGACTCGGGGGATGATGAGCGCCGGGCAGGTTCTGGACCCCGGCCCACCTTGCGTGGCACCCCCTCCCGTCCGGCGGGCAGCAGGACCTGGCAGCTACTCCTAAGGCCCTGGCGGCCTCCCGTGGAGGGACCCACGTGTGCGAAGCTGAGGGAGGGCCCAGCCAGTACCCGGACTGGCCACACTGATGCCACCCTGGTCGAGACGTCCCGCGAGACTGCGGCCCTGCTCGGCACCTCGACGCAGGGGGAATGGCCACACCTGGATTCCAGGCCCACAGGAGCCGGGAGACAGCAAACCTGGGTTGTTTTAGGCCATGAGGGCTTGGGGTCACTTGTGATGACCGCAGGACGCTGAAGGAGGAGCCGGCTGTAGATGTGACGGGGCAGCGGCCAGGGCGTCCGGGCGAGAGGGCAGTGCCCACCTGGCACAGGGTGGGCAGGTCCGGAGAAGCCGCTCCGATGAGGGGAGCCACGCACGTCTCTGTGGACCCTGTAGAGGCAACGGTGGTGGCGGAAACGGCACTCGCGGGGTGGTGGGAGGGGCCAGAGGACGAGGCGGGGTTAGGGTTTGGGGGGCGGGCCATGGGCCGGCAAGGGCAGGCAGCAGGGAGGGTGTTTTCTCCAGCTCCCTGAGTCTGGGGGGGATGGGGGTGGTCGGTGGGGGCTGGGGATCCCAGCTGGGTGAGGAGGACAGTGAGGATGGCCAGAGGGCGTCGGTGCTGAAGACTGGGGGCTCCCTGATCAGTGGTTGGACTCAGCTTCCACCGCCTGGGGCATGCGTTCAGTCTCTGGTCTGGGAACTGAGACTCTGCAGGCTGCACAATGCAGCCAAAACACACGCATCCACACACGCACACACACACACACCGCCCTGAGATCCCACCTCATGCCCACAAGGATGGCCATTACCAAAACAAAAAGAACCAGGCAGATACCAAGTATTGGCAGGAGGTGGTAACAGGGCGCCCTGTGCACCACTCACGGGGATGTAAAAAGGGGCGTGCAAGCTAAGTCCCTTCAGTTGCGTCCGACTCTTTGCAACCCCATGGACCGCAGCCCTCCAGGCTCCTCTGTCCATGGGATTCTCCAGACAAGAATCCTGCAATGGGTTGCCATTTCCTTCTCCAGGGGATCTTCCTGACCCGGGGACAGAACCTGGGTCTCTTGCGTCTCCTGCATTGGCAGGCGGGTTCTTTACCACAGCACCACCATAGAACAATGCAGTTCCCCGGGATGGGCCTGACGACCCACACAACCCAGGGTTCCCCTCTTGGGTCCGTAATGCCTACAAGAGCTGAGAGCAGCGTCTTCCACAGACGCCTGCACACACCCGTGCTCACGGCAGACAGAGGTGGGACCCGCGTGTCCATCAGCGGGCGCACGGGGAAAGATGTGGTCTCTCCACATGGCGGGATATTAGCCCGCCTTCAAGAGGAAAGGGACCCTGACACATGGGGTCAGACGCTGCAGTGTGAATGGACCTTAAGGACGTTATGCTGGGTGAAGTTAGTGTATCAGCAGGGCAGCTTTTGTGCGATCCCACTTACACGGGGTCCCTGGAGGAGCCCGGTTCAGAGACATTAGGAACAGGGGTGAGCACCAGGGCTGGGGGCAGGGGTGGGGACTCAGTGAGTAAGGGGGACAGTTTCCTTTGGGAAGGTGAGAAAGTTCTGGAGGTGGTGGGGGGAGGTGGTTTCCCAACAAGGGGAGTGCCAGATGCCCCCAAGTGACACACTCAGCAAGTGTTGTGTTGTGGACACTTTATCGCAAGAAAGATAAAAACAAGTTTGGCTGGTGCAGCGTTTCACCACTCAGGTAGGAGTAAAACACACAGGCCCCCACGACTTACGGATACACTGAGGTTACTGCCCTTCTCTTTGCCCTAAACTTGCTCTGCACAATATAAAGGGTAACTTTCATGGCAGTGATTCTTAGATAAATTTAGCGTTCTTTTTCTTTCGTTTTTAAAAAAAGGTTGGCTGCACTGGGTCTTCGCACGGCTCCGGCTTCTCTAGCTGTGGCCTGTGGACTTAGCGCCCCCACAGCATGTGAGGACTTAGTTCCCTGACCAGGGATTGATCCTTGGTCCCTACATTGGAAGGCAAACTCTTGACCACTGGATCACCATGCAAGCCCCAAAATTTAATGCTCTTTTATTTAGAACATTAAATCAACAACAACAGCAAAAAAGACTGACAAGTCAGTGCTCTTTCTGCATGGATGTTGAATTTAACAAAGTAATTTTTTTAAAAGATGCTTTCTGGGCTTATCTCCCCTCCAACTCCTGAGGCCCCCAGCCCCAGGCTTGGGAGCTCACAGGTGCCCTGAGGTCCCCAGGGTGGCCCGTGGGTCTCTGGCTGGTGCTCTGTGTCCCTAACAGGCTCGGGAACCCCAGGGAGGGTGCAGAGCCCCACGTGCGAAGGGCCCCTCCTGGCCCATGCGAACTGAGCCTCCCACCATGTAGGAGGCAGGGCGGGGAGGTGTTTAGGCTTCAGGAAGAGATGTAAACTGTCTCCTTAGAGCTGGTCTGGAGGGCTCCCCTCTGCTAATTCAAAACCAGACCTTCTTTTATCTTTTTACCGTCCCTGAAGCCCTGCAGCATAGCAGGACACTGGACCCTGGAGTGAGCCGCCCCCCACCCCTCCCAGCCTCCCCTCCCTGCAGGTCCCCGAGCCCTATCTGACCATGCCCCTAGTGGCTATGCCCCCCGATGTTCAGTCTAACCCAGGGGGACCTTTGCCTGCCCCTCAGCACCCCACCAGCTCCTCCCCACCTTGGTCTCCCAGGTCCTGCCAGCTCCCTGCCCATCCTCTCCCCTCTGCCCATCTCCCCTCACCCAACCTGGCCAGGCCTGGCTGCCTTCAGCTGTCCCAGATGCTGGAGACATCTCCTCAGAGTCCCCCGCCCACAGGGACGGGCCGCCACCAGGAACACAGCCACCCCTGGGGACGGGGCCACCCCTGGGGACACGGCTGCCACCGGGGACGGGGCGTGGGGGACGTTCTCCTAACAGATAGGGCCAGAGGGGCTGGGCCTGGCCGTGTGGCTCCTGTGAGCAGCAGGCCTGTGAGGACCTCCTTGCAGGCTAATGCAGGCAGGTCACACACACACACATGCACAGGAGCGCCAGCTTCCTGGGTGCCCACAGCCTTCCAAGGAGCCCATTTGTCATGCAAATGCCCTCTCCAGGGGCCTCCCCAAGGGTGCTAGAGAGCTGTGGCCTGTCTAGGGTGGGGCCTGAGGTCAAGACCCCTTGGGTCCTGCAGCCCACGCCCCTGCATGGCGAGTTGAGCTGGGGCCTGGCAGAGGAGCCTCAGCTACAGACCCAGACAGGCCTGAGGTCTGACCGCTCTGCAGCCTCCGCGCCCAGAGCAGGCGTTGCGGCCGCACCCTTGGAAGCCCCAGGCTGCCAGGCCCCTCCTATCCTCCTGGAACTCCCCTGGGTGGAAAGGCCTGGCTTCACTGTTCTCAGCTGCCCCGATACAGCCCACCGCCGCCGCAGCCAAGCCTGATGGGCCGTCGCCCCGCTGTCCCGCACGCCTGCCCCTCTAGGGCGCAGATTTGGGGTCCAGGCCTGAGCGGGGCCCCGTGCTGGGGTCGGTCGGCCTCTGGGTCCAGTTGCCACCTGCAGCCAGGACGGCCAGGCCCGGAGACACGGGCTGAGTGACAGAGGCCACAACCACCCCACCCCTCCCAGAGGGGCCGGTGGGCTTGGGGGAGCGGCCGCGGTGGAGCCGCGGGAGCCCGGCGGGCCGTTCTGCCCGCGGGTCCGGGACCGGAGCAGGGCGGCTGCTCAGGGGGCGGGGCGCCGAGCGCCGCCACACAAGTGCCCGTTGTGTCCCGGAGCAGCCCCGCCTCGACCCCCAGCTCCCCGGGACCCCGCCCCGCCCCGCCCACCTGTGACGCCCACCCCCCCATGCTGCGACCCCGGCCCTCCGCGGCTCTGCGCATCCGCCCCGGCCGCCTCCTGCCCTGTCGCTTGATGCCCCGGTGCCCTGACTGTCCCCCAACCCCCGCTCACACTACCCGTGAACCCTGCAGCTCCTTCCTGGACACCCCGCCTCAACCTGCGCCCCCACTGCGCTCTCCTGCGGTCCCCGGAAGGCCTCCGGGCTCTGGACTCGCCAGCCTCACAGATCAGGGTTTCTGGCCCTGCGCCCCTTCCTGGCTTCCGCCCCCAGACCAGGTTTCTCGGCGTGGGAGACCCTCCCCACCAGCCACCCCAGGCCGGCGAGAGGGTCCTGAGAGCAGTCCCTTGGCAGCAGGGGCTGGCTTCCTGCTGGGGTGCCCCGAGGTGGGAGGCGTGGAAGGAGGGCTGGATTGGGTCCACATCCCAGGGGTAAGTGCAGGCCCTGCGCCCTGCTGCCCGGCTGGGGCCAGGGCCCCCTGCTGCCCAGTGGCCCAGAGAACAAAGCCTCTGGTGCAGTCACGACTGCCGGGGTGAGGGCACTTGGGCTGCAGGTCATGAAGAACACGGACCCCCGGTCAGGGCGCAGGATCCACCCGGACCCTTCCGGGTGCCAGGTCAGCACCCATGGGGCCCAGCGGGGCCGGACATGGGGGACCCACACGTCCCACCCAGGGTGGGCAGAGCACTCTCCTGGCCCCCGAAAGGAGCTGGAGCCTCGGGGCAGGGGGTCAGAAGAGGGAGGGGGCGCTTGGGCAGGATGACCCGTGACTCGAGCGACTGGGAGGAAGGGGTGTCCTCACCAGCAGAGCGGGGCGGGGCAGGGCGAGTGGCTGGCAATGGGGAGCCGGAGGGCGGAGAGGCTGAGTCCACGGGCTGGAAGGGCCCTGGGGGGCGGGAGAAGGTAGGGGGTCTCTTCCCGCTCCCCACCCCCCACCCCCGGAGGCCCCTCTGTGCACCCAGCCCAGTGAGGGCCTTAGGCCGGCAGGACCGCTCAGCTCACAGGCGGGGAAACTGAGTCTGGGGCAGAAGGAGCAGTGTCTGGACAGACCTGGCCAACACAGACGAAGAGCTGGCCCAGTGGAACTGGTCTGACCAGGTGTGTGTGCATGTACATGTGTGTGTGTACACGTGTGTGTGTGTGTGTGTGTGTGTGTGTGTGTGTGTGTGGACTGGAAGCCAGCCAGGAAGCAGGTGAACAAAGGCCACAGCCTGCGTCATGGGCAGCAGCTCGGGGCCATGGCCAGCAGCCCCACCTCGAGACCCGGCTCTGGGTGGGGGCTGGCAGGCTGCCGTTCGCTCTTCCCGAGTCGGAGCTGCAGAGCTGGCGGGCGGGAGGCCAGTGGTGGCCCGGGTCTGGCTGCGGGCAGTGGCCTCCCTGCTCTATCCAAAGGCAGCCTGGCCGGCGCCCTCAGGGCCCTCGGTCACTCAGGGCTCCACACGCCGGCCTCACTGAGAGGCCACGGCCCAGGCGGGCAGCCGGGTCCCCCCAGGGGCCCCTGGTGTCCTGGTGGGCGGGCCTTCAGGAGGCAGACCCTCCACCGAGGACCTACGGCCGCTGCTCCGCCCAGCCCACCGCCCCGCCCGTGCTGTGGGCACCTTTCTGAGGGCGCTGCTCCGGCCTCCCCGACTCCAAGACGCAGCGACTCTGGCTGGAGCCATCTCTCCGCCCCACCCCATGGCTCCTTGACCCCAAAAGTCCTTCCGCAGGGATGGCTCAGGGCCGGCCGCTCCTGCTACGCACCGAGCTTCCCTGCCACCCCCAGTCCTGTCCTGGTGACCCCCGGCCCGGGTTTTCCAGCCTGTGAGCTGGGCAGCAGCACGCAGCCTCAGCAGGCACCTGTACCCGAGGACCGGGAGGAGGAGGGCCCATGCGGGCCGGTCCTGGGCAGGAGCAGCCCCCCGTCCTGCCCTGCCGCCCCACAGGATGGGCCTCGGCCTCGGGAGGGCAGTGAGGAACCGGGATCCGGGAGCTGGGCCAACAGCACCCCCCTCTGCGCCCAGAGCTGGTTCCTGCAGCTGCCCCTGAGGTCAGGTCAGCGTGGCCCAGCCTGGCCTGGTATGAGTTAACATCAGAGGTGCAGGGCGGCTGACAGGGGGTCCCTGCCACCGAAGTGGGCTCCGGGCGCTACCACCTGCCAGGCGCACGGGCGCCTCCCTGCACCCTCCCAGGGGGTGAGATAACCCAGGGAGCCACGGGAGGTTCTGGGCGCGAGCGGCATGTCCAGGAGCAGACTCCAAACACTGCCTCAGCGGGCCCAGGCCTGGCGTGGGGGGCCAGGATGGATCCCAGGGCCAGGGCAGTGGTGGGGGCCCCTGGGTCAGCTTGTTCTCCTGCCCCATGAGGCAGCCTCCGCCCTGGGTCCCCAGGCAGCTGACTCGCCTGCCTGGGAGGGGCTCTGGGCCTGGTCGAAACCCTGCACTGGCGCGTCTCAGAAACCGCGAGTCAGCGGCTCCCCGCTGCCAGGCCTGCCACTGGGAACCGCCCAGATGAGGGTGGCGGGCAGAGGGCTGGGATGGGCATCACTTGGGTCCCCGCGGGGCCCCAGCTGGGAGGCGGCAGGGAACGGGCTGGCACAGGCTCAAGAAGGACAGAGGCGGAGGCTTTGGCCCGGTGCGGGTGGGGATGCCCGCCTGCGTGCCTCCGAGCAGGCTCAGTCGTGTCCGATTCTCTGCGACCCCGTGGACTGTAGCCCACCAGGCTCCTCTGTCCACAGGATTCTCCAGGCAAGAATACTGGAGTGAGTTGTCATTTTCTTCTCCAGGGGATCTTCTGGACCCAGGAATCGAAGCTTTGTCTCCTGAATTGGCAAGCAGACTTTACCACTGAGCCGCGTGGGAAGCCGGGGGCGCCTGCAGCCCCCCTCAAATCTCAGCCAGCAGTGCTGGGGAGTGACTGAAGGGCCCGCTTCACTGATAGGAAGATGGACTCTGCAGGGAACCTCTGGGGTCACGGCACCCACCCCCAGGGGCCACGTGCCCTGACCCCTACCTGGAGCCAGTCAGACCGTGAGAGGCCAGGCCCCTGAGAGGAGTGGACGGTGCTGGCGCAGGGGCCTCATGGGCCTGCTGCACATCCTGGCCACCACACCCCCACCCGGCTCAGGCGGGCCCAGCAGGCAGGATGCCAAGGCTGCTGCCTGGGGTCAGGCCTGGGGCGGGAGCCAGGCGGCCCTGAGCAGCGGGAAGTGAGGGGCTGCCGGCCTGGGATGGGGGTTTCCTGGGGGTGGGGAGCCTGGCCAGAGAGCAAGTGCAGAATTCCTTCCATTCCTTTCGTTTCCCTGTGATGACTCAGCAGCTGTCCATAGGCACTGTCTGTCCCACAGGCCTAGGGATGTGCCTGCTGCGAGGGGGGCTGTCACAGTGCTCCGCCCCGGCTCCCCCCGCTGCTCAGTCCCAGGTGCGCCTGCCCCCCAGCTGCCCAGGCACCCACGCTCCGGGCTTGGCCTCCTTCATGCCTGACCCCAGCCCAGCCTCCTGCAGACCTTCCCAGGGACCTGGCCCTGAGGCAGGGCGCGCGCCTGCCACAGGCCCTGTCCCTGGTGCCCCCATGGGGTGAGTGTGGGGCAGGGGGGAGGGACGGCCGCCGTGGGCTTTTGGGGCTCCCCTCTGGACAGGGGATCCCGCATGTCCAGCCCTGGCCACACCCCGTGCAGCGCCCTGGTCTCCTCCCTCTGGAGCGGGTGGGATGGCTTCCCCATGCCCCCTGGGGAGGAGGGGCCGGCGCTGCAAGCCTGGAGGCCGCCTGGCCGGGGTGTCCGGCCGGGCTGGCACGGGGCCGAGGGGGAGTGGGAAGGAGGTCCCAGTAGGGTACGTGGACGGGGGGCCGTCGGGTGTCTGCACACCCACCCCCAGGGCTGCACGGGCCAGCCACTGCGTGTGCACACGTGGGCATGTTGCTGCCTGGGCCCTGAGCCTGGCTGACCAGCCACTGGGGCACCCTCCCCCAGGCCCTGAACACCCCGGCACTGGAAGCCAGTGGGAGTGTGGGGCATTCAGGGATGAGCTGGACAGGAGTTGCAGGTGCCCCCTTCAGAGAGGCCCACTCAGCTCCTGCATTCAGCCCCCCAGCCACAGTCACTTCCTGGAAACCAGGCCGGTCACCCATCCTGAACCGGATGCTCTGCCCAGGCCTCCTCGGGCCCCAGGAGCAGGGTGCCAGGGAACCCTGGGCAGAGACAAGGACAACTCCCACTTGGGCTTCAGGGCTGAGCACCCAGTCGGTGCTGAGCACCCAGTCGGTGCTGAGCCTGAACTCGGGGGGCTGACCCAGAGCTCCAGCAGCCCTGGACACCCCTTGTTTCGCAGCTCTTGCCTCCCTCCCTCCCAGCCCCCAGGACTACGCAGTCAGCCAGGAAAGGCCGCCAGCCTAGCTCAGGGTCACCAGACTCCCCCAACATCAGCCCCCACAGGCCTGGCCAGCAACCCCTGAACGCCGCCGTTCCCAGCGGGCAGCGCTCTGATCTGCATGCCCAGGGCCCTTCGGTGCCCTGTACAGACTGGCACTGGGCCGCCCCTGGGAGCCAGATTGGGTCCCTGCAGCCACAGCTGCAGTGGGGAGAGTCTGGAAGGCCCCATGGGCCCCCCAGGGACTGTCTCGCAGGCCTGTCCCCTGCTCTGGCCTGGCTCCACGCTCGGCCTGCAGCCACCAGGGTTCAGCGGCTGCCCACATGCCTGGGTCTGCTCCAGTGGGCAAGGAAGAAGGTCAGCTGCTGCTCGGGTCGGGGAGCCTGGACCCCAGTGCAGGGCTCCAAGCCCCACGAAGGTAGCCCTCATCAGTGCAGCCTTCTTTCTCCACCAGCAGAAGTTGGACCACGCTGTGTCTTCCTTGGAACCAATGACCGCCCCCATCGCCATGCCCAGGTGTGGGGGGCTCTTCCCTAGCTCTCTTATTTCCGAACCCTTAAAGGACCACAGGGTCTGGGGCGCCAGGTTTTGGGCTCTGAGCTCTGGGGCTGGCAGGGAGGGGCCGGATCGAGCCTGACCTGAAACTGTCATCCCTCCTGCTCGGCTTCCCAAGCCTGATCCGTTCTTGGGCCAGGCTCCCACCTCGGCAGTGGAGCCTCCTGCCGTCCTGGCTGGCCAGCTGCCGCCCAGGGGTCATCCTTCTCCTGGCAGCCCCCAGACGCCGCTCTCTCTGTGACGCAGCCTGAGTGTGGAATGGGGGGTGCATGCGTGTGCTGAGCCTGAGCAGTGACACAGCAAATACTGGACATGCGTCTCCAAGGCTGTCACTGCGTCTTGACCCCTTGTTTACTGTGACCAGGCCCTCCCGGGTCCATGCTCTGGACAGCCTGAAGGTCCACTTGAGCGGGCAGTTTTCTGTGGCCTGAGTGTGGTCTGACCATTCATCCCGGGCCTGAATGAAACTCCCCTAAGACGAGGTCATTCCTGCCGCAGGCCCTGGGCCCCAAGGCCTCCACGGGTCCCTGGCCGGCTCCCAGCAGCACAGCTCTGACCCCGCCTGGCTGCGCGCCCCTCCCCCACCCTGGTTCAGCCTCCAGACTGCTGCGCTCTGCCTGCTCCTCCCGGACGCCCCCAACATGGGCCCTGCGTGGCCCCTGGAGCGCATGCAAGCCTGAGGCACACACAGGCTGGCTGGTCCAGCCTCCCACTCTGCGGGGGTCCCCCTGCAAGGCCTCTTCTGTATCCCTTCCTCGTCCACGCTAGGGGCCGAGCAGAGGGGACGGCGGGACCCCACCCACCCGGCACCACCCACAAAGGCCACCCGAGGCTCCCTGGCCGGGTCTCAGAGGCTGCGTCTGCTGGGTTGGGGCACAGGGCTCCCGCAGAGGGCGGCCCCACTGCCCCCAGCCCCCTGCCCCGTGGCCTAGGCCTTTGGGGTAAGCGGGCCCCTCTGTCCCAGTTCCACCCAAGCTGGGCTCCTTGACCTTGAGGGTCTCGGCACAGGTGGTGGAGCTGCCACTCTGGTGGGCTGTGCCCCGGGCCTCCCTGTCCAGGAGCCCCCAGGCTCTACCTGTGAAATCTGGGCCTGGACCCAGGACGAGTCTTAGGCATCCGCTGCACGCCTGGGAGGCACATCTGAGTGGCTCCTCCTCCTGGCCTGCTCAGGGGTGGCCAGAGCCCCCTCAGATGGGGACCCCAGGACAGGGTGATTGGGGTGAGGCCCCAGCAAAATGGCCAGAGAGCTGGTCCAGGGCCAAGGCTGTGCCCACTGCCTGGGGTGGCCTGGCCCCAGTGCCTGACGGAGGGCCGAGGTGAGGAGACCACCCCTGCAGGCGCAGGCGGCCCCTGCGTTCTGGTCACTGCTCCCGTCACTGCCACCCCCAGGCTGGGGTGGGGCGCTCTAGCCCAGCTGGGTTCGGGGTCAGATCCACCAGGACTCCAGCCTCTCCCCAGGTTGGGCCTGGGTATCCCGCGGCACCGGGGGCTTTTTCGAGGTCCCCTTGGCCAAGATCCAGGTGACCGCTGCCAGGCGGCTTGAGGTGGCATGCACAGGGGTAGCGGGAGGTGGGGTGCTGGGAGGAGGTGGCAGCTCTTGAACTTGGTCTGGGGTCAGGTCAGGCAAGGGGGCTCCCTGGCAGGGTGACCTGGGCTCACACAGGCTGCCAGCCACAGCCCCCACTGACTCCGGCCTGGTGCAGGCCCGGCCCCGTCGCCTCTGGGGCGTGTTGTGAAACACCGGCTCTGCTGGTTCCTCTCCCTGGTGGGTGAGAGGCCAGGACAGAGGCAGAGAAGGCCAGAAGGCAGGCCCCTCCTGCTTCAGCCCGGCCGCAGCGACAGGGACGCCTGTGCCGGGTCGTGGAGCTCCCGGGGCCTGGCCTGCGGTCAGCCAGATGGAGCTGGGGTGAAGCTGGGCGCTGTCCAGCCAGGCCCCGCGGGCTGCCCCCCCTTCGGCACGGGGGCAGAGGCCGGACAAGGCTCGGGGGCCCGGGTCACCAGGCTGACCCTGCCAGCGGCGTGGGTGCCGGGAAGACCTGGGGGCCGAGAGGGCATGGACAGGGCTCGGGGGCAGGGAGGCAGTCCTCTGGGCACCGTCTGGGTGGAGGGGCACGGAGAGTCCAGGGCAGGGCCGAGCAACCCCCTGGGACGGCCAGGGTCAGCTGGAGGGGCCGGGTGAGGAGGCTCTGGTTGCTTGCATGGGGACTGAGGGGGATGGGGGCACGGGGGCCCAGACCCAGAGCCTGTGCTGTCCCCGCCTCCCTGCTGTGACGCCCGACTGCGAGCGTGTCTGTAAGCATGTGATGGCGTGTGTGCACGTCCATGTGTGTGTGAGTGCCCATGTGCATGAATGTCCGCGAGTGTGCGTGAGCATCCACGTGTGAGTGTCCTTGAGTGTCCAGCTGCATGAGTGTATATGAATGTGTGCATGCGTGTCCTTGGGTGTGCACGCATGGCCGTGTGAGCACCAACGCGCATGTGTCCCTGTGTGTGTACGAGTGTGAGTGTGCACAAGTGCTCGCGGTATGTCTGTGTGAATGTCCATGAGTGCGCCTGAGTGTCCACCTGTGTCAGTGTCCTTGAGTGCGCCTGAGTGTCCATGAACGCGCATGTGTTCATGGTATGAATGTCCATGTGTGTGAATGTCCTTGAATGCACACACATGTCCGTGTGCATGAGTATCTGTGAGTGTGTGTGTGTGTGCACGACTGTCTGTGAGTGTCGTGTCCATGAGTGTCGAGTGTCCGAGAGTGTATATGAATGTGTGCACGAGTGTCCGTGAGTGTGTCTGTGTGTGGATGGGAGACAGGGTGGAGACCGAGGCTACCTGCCTTCTAGCCTCCTCTTCCTCCCTGATCCAGGGAAGACAGCCTGGCTCTGGTCACCACGGCAACAGCCGCCCCTCCTGCCCTCAGGGCAGGGTGACCTTGTGGGGCTGTGCAGGGCCAGGAAGGGCTTTTTCCAGGGTAGGGCGGGGCTGCAGCCCCCCAGGAGGATCCAAGTTGCTCCCCACACTTAGGAAACACCTGCCTTGAGAAGACACCAGAAGCCTGAAGAGGCACTCGGCCTCCCTGCGAGGCGGCCCCTCTCTGCAGCATGGCCTGATGCACGCGGGTGCTCACAGCACACTGGCCTGAGCCGTGGGCATGCCCGGGGTGGTGGGTGGCCAAGGGACCAGGCCTGGCCTCTGCCATCAGCGAGGTGGCCTGGTGCCTCAGCCTCAGCTGAGCCCTCTGGGAGCTCCTCCCACAGCTCCGCTGCCCATGAAGTTGCTGACCTGGGCCAGGCCTGCCTGTGGGGCCCAGAGCTATTTTTAAGGCCCACCGGATGGGCCTTCCAGGAACCAGGAAAAAACAGGCAGGGCTTGACATCCTGCCCTGCAGGGATGTGGCTAGGAGATGGGTGTGGATCAGACCTGCAGTGAAGAGGTGGCCTGGGTAACTGACCAAGGGTGGTGCCTGGGGCAGGAGGGTGAGGGGCCCTTGGGGCTCAGACCTGGCTTTGCCTTCCTGTGTAAGGGCAGGGGCCCCACATCTGGGAAAATCCCTCAGAGCCTCAATGTGCCAAGCTGAGAATGGCGTGGGCCATGCCTGCCGGCAGGGTAGGCACAGAGAAGATGGGCAGCACCTTGCCTGAGTCCTGCCCTCTGGGCAGAGTCATCTCAGGCCTATTCCTGGGGCCAAACAGGACCTGAAAGAGGGCCCCTGCAGGACAGCCCCTGGTAGGGAGGGGGATCTGGGTCCGTTCTGACCCTCAGGGACTCACAGTGCACGCAGGACACACACACCACAGCACGTTTACAACACATAAAGAGTCTGGAAGAGATGAAGGCTCTGAGTAAACCTCCATCTCAGGAAAGAGGTCACTTCCTTCTCTCTCCTTCACTCCCAGACCAGGCAGGGGACCCCTCCCCACTCCCAGAGACCCCAGGGGCTTCCAGAGGTGGCTCAGCCCACCTTAGGGCTGGGGGAAGAGAGACACACCTCGCCCCTTTCTGAAGGAGAGTGAACCCTGCTCTGAGTTTGAGGAGACTCAGGGTCTTTGGATCAAGACTCCGGAGCTGGTGGGGGGCAGGGGTGGCCCTCATTCCAGGATGCTGGCCTCCCAAGGCTGACTCCCAAGGTCAGGACACCCAAGGACGTTCACATGGGGGGCTGGAGGCCCACAGGGGAGGCCAGGGGGGCTTTGGCTCCTGTTCACAGAGTTGGAATTGCCCTCAGAGTCACATCTTGATACCGAGACCCAGGACACTCTACTGCAATCTTACCCTCCCCAGCCCAGGACAGGCTATGGGTCCAGGAACCTGGAGCAGCCTGACCCCAGGCGGAAGACCCTGTGGACCACCCACTGGTCCCTGAGAAAAACCCGCAAGGAGATGGGAGTCTGGACTCCACTGCAGAGGTGGGCGCCCGGCCTTGGATCTAACCCTGCGAGTAGCTCTTACCAGCTGCAGGTCCGTGGTGACCTGGCCAGCCCTGGCCTCATGTCCGCATGGCAGGGGGGCAGTGGGCAGAGCTCCAGGAAGATAAGAACCCAAGGGCTGTACCAGTGCAAGGGCCACTCTCTGCCCTGAGTCAGCGACAGTGGCAACCAAGGGGTGTGACTTGGGGCAGGCTGGGCATGCTCAGGGAGCCAGCAGGCTGGCCAGGGCCTCTGAGGCACATGCTTGGAGGGCACAGCTGAAGGCAACCTCTCTCAGGTGGGCCCAGGGATGGGGCTGCAATGTGACCCCAGCTGGCCCCCAGGGGCCTCGCCAAGTATCTGCAATGCCAGAAGGACCAGCACCTTGACCTCTTGGCTCCTCCAATCCTCAGTCCTCTCTGGATGGCTGTGGGAAGCAGTGGGCATCTGCGCTCAGCCAGGGGGGCTGGCAGACGGCTGCTCACACCTGAGCTGCTCAGGCGGTGGCGACCTCGGGCTGAGGTCGGCAACCGTGGGGCCGAATGGGTCTGTGCTGCTCAGAAGGCGGAGAACAGGCTCAGGCCCAGGCCACGGCCATGAAGACCTGGGCTGGTGCCAGTCCTGACACAGGCGGTCAAGGTGGCCTCCCTGCTGAGGTGGACAACAGCTGGGCCTGGCAGGCAGCCAGGTGGGTGGAGCGCAGGGGACGGCCCTGCAGGCACGGGGACAGCAGGTCAAAGGTCCCCGGGGGCAGGCACGGTCAGGAAGGCCCTCGGGCTGCAGGTGTGAGGGCAGGCCGAGTGGGGACTGTGGTCCCGGGTGGGCAGGGCGGAGCCTCACCCCAGGCGGGGGCTTCGAGCCCGGGGGCGCGGCCTGCCCAGGGGTCACGAGCACAGCCCGGGGCACCGGAAGCCGACTCCCTAATCCCGCGGCTCCTCGCAGCCCAGTCGCTGCATTCCCTGAGGGGCCGCCGGCGCCGGACCGGTCTCGCCGGTGACCTTCCCAGCGCGGCCTGCGGCGGAGCTCTGACCGCGCCCCGCCCGGGCGTCGCCATTGGCTAGGCCCCATGCCCTTCGCAAACGCGGGCTCCCATTGGCTCCCGCGGCCCCGCCCCGAGCGCGGGAGCGGGCGCCCGTGTGCGCGCGGAGGAGTGACGTCTGTCCACCGCGCCCCGCCGCGCCGTGCGCCTCCGCGGCCTCGCTCCCGCTAGCTAGTCCCAGCCGGCTCACCGCGCCCTGGGCCCGCCCCGCCCCGCCCACCCCGGAAGGCGCGCCGCTGTCCTCGCGCCACCGCCCGGGCGGAGGGGGCGGGGCCCGGCTTGGCCCGCCCCCGCGGAGGGATACGTGCGGTCGCGGCCCAAAACTCCAGGGCTCGGCGGCCGGCGCGTGTGAGAGGCTCGGCTTGAGGCGCGTCCGCCGGGTACACGCGGGGCTTTGCCGGGCACTGCGCCGCGCGGGCGGCCTCGCCCGAGCTCGGAGGCCGGCTCGCCCTCCCGCTCTCCGCGTCGGGGCTCCGCGCGGTCCCGGGAGGCCGCCCTCCCGCGTCCGCCGCCGGGCGGGGAGCCGGGCCGGGCGAGAGGCGGCGCGGAGACCTGGAGCCGGGGCCCGCGCCCGGCCGCCGCCCGCGATGCTGCTCTCCAAGTTCGGCTCTCTGGCACACCTGTGCGGGCCGGGCGGCGTGGACCACCTCCCGGTGAAGATCCTGCAGCCAGGTATGCTGCGGCGGGGGTCTGGAGCGCACTAGGGTCAGGGGGCCGGGGGCCTGGGGCGCACTAGGGTCGGGGGGCCGGGGTCTGGGGCACACGGGGCCGGGGGGAGACCGGGGGCCGGGGTCCCCAGCTGCCCCAACCCTGCTTGTGGGCTCCCCACAGCCAAGGCGGAAAAGGAGAGCTTCGAGAAAGTGTATCAGGTGGGCGCCGTGCTGGGCAGCGGCGGCTTCGGCACGGTCTACGCTGGCAGCCGTATCGCTGACGGGCTCCCGGTGAGTCTGGCCGCCGGGCACCCGGGATTCTCGACCCGCGCGCGTCGTTGCGTCCTCGCGGGCCTGACCACTGGTCCCCTCTCCCCAGGTGGCCGTGAAGCACGTGGTGAAGGAGCGGGTGACCGAGTGGGGCAGCATCGTAAGCGCAGACGGGGGCGCCGGGCGGAGAGGGGGCGCCGGGCGGAGCGGGGGGCACGGGAAGCAGGTGGAGCGCGCTGACCGCCGTGTCCCCTAGGCCGGCGCGGTTGTGCCGCTGGAGGTGGTGCTGCTACGCAAGGTGGGCGCGGCCGGCGGCGCGCGCGGGGTCATCCGCCTGCTGGACTGGTTCGAGCGGCCCGACGGCTTCCTGCTGGTGCTGGAGCGGCCCGAGCCGGCGCAGGACCTGTTTGACTTCATCACGGAGCGCGGCGCCCTGGACGAGGCCCTGGCGCGCCGCTTCTTCGCGCAGGTGCTGGCCGCCGTGCGCCACTGCCACAGCTGCGGGGTCGTGCACCGCGACATCAAGGACGAAAACCTGCTGGTGGACTTGCGCTCGGGCGAGCTCAAGCTCATCGACTTCGGCTCGGGCGCGCTGCTCCGCGACACGGTCTACACTGACTTCGACGGTGAGTGCCCTCTCCTCGGAGAGGGCCGAGGGGTTGGCGACTGTTGGGACCGCGCGCCGCGCCGGCTCGCTCGCGACCACGGCCAGAGTGGGCTCTCGGGGCCGTTGTGTCCGGTGGGTGGGGGCGCGGGGTGGGCTCGGGACTCCCTTGGCCCGGCCGGGAGCCCGGCGCCGCCGCGAGCCTTTTCTACGCGCGCGCGCGCGCGAAGCGTGGGGGCGCAGCGCAGAAATGCCCGCATTGCGGAGCCGGGGAAGCCGGGGCTCCCCGCCCCTCCCGTATCCTCACCTCACAGCTGTTTGTTGTGAAACCCGAGCCCGCGCTCACGTGACCCCCCGCCCGCGCCGGGCCAGCTGGGGGGGGGGCGGGGCGCCCGGGAGGCCCCGCCCGCCGGGGTTTTTCCTGGGCGAGGAGGGGCAGAATGTCGCGGCGGCTCAGTCCTCTGGCTCCGCCGGGAGTGCGGGCGCTCCGTGTGTGTTGTGCTTGATTCCGGCCTTGCCGGCCGCTGCCCTGGGGCGGGCGTGCTAAGTCCCGCGTGTCCTCCAGGCACCCGCGTGTACAGCCCCCCGGAGTGGATCCGCTACCACCGCTACCACGGGCGCTCGGCCACCGTGTGGTCCCTGGGTGTGTTGCTCTACGACATGGTGTGCGGGGACATTCCTTTCGAGCAGGACGAGGAGATTCTCCGGGGCCGCCTCTTCTTCCGAAGGAGGGTCTCCCCAGGTGTGTGGGGGGGCTGGGCCTGCCGCGGGGCGCAGCGGGGCGCGGCAGGCCTCCTGCTGATCCTCTTCTCCTCCTCAGAGTGCCAACAGCTCATTCAGTGGTGTCTGTCCCTGCGGCCCTCGGAGCGGCCCTCGCTGGACCAGATCTCTGCCCACCCCTGGATGCTAGGGGCCGAGGGGGGCACCGCAGAGAGCTGCGACCTGCGGCTCTGTGCCCTCGACACCGATGACGGGGCCAGCACCACCTCCAGCAGTGAGAGCTTGTGAACAGGGGCTGCACCTGGCCGCGGGGGCAGGAGGGACCCCTGCCCTGACCAGGTTGTCTGCTCCTTTGTGAAAGCAGTGATCTCTGACCCTTGGTGACCTTTGCCTTTGGCACCAACCCGTTTCCTTTGCTTTGAGTGCCTTTTCGAACGCTGCTCTCATGGGACTTGGTTTTCTCAAGCTCTGTCTGTCCAAAGACACTCCGGACCAAACCAGGTCCTGCCTGCCCTCCACCGGCGCTTGACCCGAGACCGTCCCTCTCCTGTGTCACTCCGTAGGGGGCCCTGACCCGCCCCCCCCCCCCCCCCCCCCCCGCGCCTCCACGTCTGACATGTTGGACAAGGAGCACTCCTGAGTCCTGTGGCCTCATCTCATGTGGGCACAGGGTCCCTCGTGACACCCCCCCAACCAATGTCTCGGTGTTCGTCTGGGCACGACTGTGCACAAGCAATGCAACGTTCAGGCCTTGCTGCCCGCCCACCCACCTGATCCGTGTGCGTGTGCAGACGTCTTATTTATGGTGTGACCCCGAGGAGGGCTATTTATTGTTTAATTTATTTGTCAAGGTTCCTCCCTCCCAGCAGCCCCACCTCCTTAAGGCCCGTGGGCGGAGGAGGGGGTGGCTGTGCGTGTGGACCCCAGGCCCCAGTCCTTCCTGTGTCTGTCAGAAGGTGGGCTGGTACAGCGGCTAATTTAAGGGGCATGGGTGACCCTGCCACCTCGCGGCCCTGCGCCTGTGGGGTGGGTTTTAAATTATTGACATTGTACAGTCTGCTTGTTGGCTCTGGAGGTTGGGGGTGGGGGGACAGAGTCTCAAGCCTTTAATTTATTTCAGCAGCTGTGTGTTTGTGATCCCAGTGTGTGCGGGCACTGTGGATAGGGGCTTCTTTCAGTTTAAAAGTGAGATGTCTGGAAATCATATTTTTTATACAGGTATTTCAATTAAATTGTTTTGTATTAAATGGACGTCCTGTGTTTTCTGGTCTAGTCTGGGGTAAGAGGGGAGGAGGTTTGGGGAGAAGGGGCCTCTGGTCTCCGTTTAACACTCTGCTTTTTTTCTGGGGAACGCGGCAGTGTGAGGGGCTTAGGCGCTTCCCTTCCAGCGTTGGCCTCCCTGCCACCCCCTTCTCTGACCCGCTGCGCCCTGGGGAGTGGGTAACACGCTGTGCCTTCAGGGCCCCTGGGAGAGGAGCAGGGAGCTGGGTCTGGGTGGGTCTGTCCGGGGAGGTCATTGCCAACCCTAATCTGGAGCCTTGTTTGGCAGTGGCCCCAAGAGGCTGAAGGATGGGTAAAAGTTTGCCAAGAGGCGGAGACTTGCAAGTGCAGAGAATGCAGGGGGAGTGGGTGGGTCTTGGCTTGACAGGTGGTGGGCAGGAGCCGTGGCCAAGTCCAGGTGGAGACATGGGCACCAGGGTGTGGGGCTAGGGGGGCTGTGGAGGGTCTGGCATTCCCTGCCCCGTGCCCCCTCCATGAGAGTCCTCCACCGGGGCAGTGAGTGGGGCACCAGGGGCCAGTAAGGAAGCCGTCCAGACGGTCCAGTGGGGCCAGGCACTCGGCCCAGAGCACAGGCCTGTGTGTCCAGCTCACAGGCCTGCTGGAAGGCCCTGGGAACAGACCTGGGCCAGAACTGTTCTGGGCTCAAAGGTTAGAGCAGAGGCAAGAGATTGTAGAAAGTGAAGCTGGAAGACCCTTCTGGGGGGCAGGGGTGGGGGCTCCTGGCTGGGCCATTCAGGGATTCAGCGGCTCTGCATGGCCTGCCTGGGGCCGGGGTTCTCCCCAGGGGCTGCTCCTGAGGCCTGGCATCCTGGGGGCCACTCAGTGTGGGTGGGCGCACTGGAGACTCTGCCCATGGCCCTGGTCTGGCCAGCCTGCCCACATCCCCCCAGGAACGGGACGCTCAGGGTGGAGGACAGGGGCCCCATGTCACCGTGATCCTGGTCCCCACTTGCAGTGGAGGGTGCTGGGCTGGTCTTGGGCACCCTGCCCATTCATACCCCATGCTCCGTTTGTCCATCCGTCAGACCATCCAGCTCATCTTAGCATGGGGCCCAGTCCAGCCATGGGGAGTGGGAGGCACCCCCCATCTAGTCTCCAGGTGCTGCAGCCAGCTGGGAAGGCGAGGAGGCTCCCAGAATCAGGCGCCCATTTGCTAGCAGGCCTGCGCCCCTGGTGTGTGCAGTCTCCCTTCAGAGGTGGGGTTTGTCCTACGGGTCAGAACTAGGCCTGCGGGCCTGGGACTGGAGGCAGGGAGAAGGGGCTCCTCTGACCCAGGGCCTCTGGGGACCAAGATGCGGCTGTACCTGCGGGCAGGACCCCCCAGCCCCCCTTGAGGCTGCTGGCACCGTGGGTGGTGTGCACAGCCTGGGACTGAAGCAGTGGGCCAGGCTGCCTGAAGAGCGCAGAGGGCCGGACCCCACCCCTGCCCGGCACCCCAGGCTGCCAGCTCACGGGCTTCTCCCCGCTGCCCTGCTCCAGAGGCCACCCTGTCCAGTGGCCCTGCTCCACCCAGTGGTCCCCCATCTCCACTTGGCCAGTTTAGTACTGAGCTCCCTTAGAACCTCCTGCTCACGGCTCACGCTCAGGGGCTCCCCTTGGGAAGAGTGGAAGCCTGGCACGCCATGGCCCCCCCCCCTATGCGCCCCTCCCGGGGAGCGACGCACTGTGCGCTGGGCTGGTGGGCGCTGGCTCAGCTTCCCAGGGAGAGTCCGGACGCTGGATGGAAACCCACCCGCCACAGCTGGCTGGGCCTAAGTTTCTTTCCTCTGTCGCAGCCCCTGAAACGAAACCTTGGCGTGGCTTTGGTGCCCCAGCTTCTCAGAAAAGGGAAGTGATCCCAGGCAGGCCCTCTGGGCGTCCAGACCCTGGCCAGTGGAACCCCAATGCTGCAGAAAGCACACAAGGAAACTCGAAGGGTCAGGCTGGGCAGCCCCGAAGTGGCGCCGAGGCTGGACAGGCAGCAGCAACAGGGCCACCCACCTGCCTGACCCTCAGGAGCACCGTGGCTGGAGGGGACGGGCCCCACACAGGCGCACTCACCAGCCCAGGGGGGCCCCCGCGGGAGCAGTGCTGCGGGGCAGGCCGCCTGCGGTCCTGGGCGGCACCAGGGGTTGGGGTCGGCCAGGCCGGGCGCTGGTCCCAGTGCACAAGGAGGGACAGGAGCTCACTGGGCCCAGTTCACCCCTGACCCATAGCTGCGGCTGGGGGTGCAGAGGCCCAGCCGATGACATGCCAGCCCGGGGTGTCTCATGGGTCTGCCCCCCCACAGAGGTCTCTGTGAGGCAGCGGGGTGAGGGGGCTCTGCCTGCGCCTCCAGCTCGTGGCTTCCAGGCTGGCCAACTTTCCAGGCAGCTTTGGCAAAACCGAGCCTGGATTACACAACAGACACCCCGCCCCTCGCCCCAGCCCCCAAGGGTTCCCAGCAGTCTTGCCTGACCAGTGGGAGGGGGCAGGCAGAGCGTACCCCTCCAGCACTGGTCACGGCCCTTCCCCTGGCTTGCTGCCTGCAAAGAGGCCCTTTCCAGGGAGACAGACCCCCGATGCTGGCCTGGGTACAGTGAGATGGGGGTCCATGCTCTGATGAATGAGTAAGGGCTTTGGGGGGCAGGTCACCCACACTCAGCCCTGAATGTGCCAGGGAGGTGCTGGAGGGCGGGACCCCACCCCCCACGGAGCTCAGGGAGGTGGGCCAGCTCCAGCCTGGCCTCTGGCCCCTCCTGCTGGGGGGCTGCTTGGCCTGCGCCGAGACCCGGGCCTCTGGTGGGCAGGGAGCTCTGAGGGCACTGGGCCTGCACACCTGTCAGGAAGGCGGGTACCTGCTCCGGGGCCTTCATGTGACGCACCCCTCAGCCACTCCCAGGAGCCTGAGCCCCCTCCTTGGCAGGAGGGTGAGGAGGGCCGCTGACGCCCAGGCCCGGCCAGGGCAGTCTGTCCTGCCCCCTGAGGCCCCGGGGCCCCCACCCTAGCCTGGGCTGTGGGGAGGGGGCTGGACCCTGATGATGAGAAGGCCCTGCTGGTGCCAGGCGGCAGCAGATGCCCTGGGTCCTGGGGCCCATGACCAGGAGAGCCGAGAGGTTCCAGCCCTGGGCCAGGCCGGGCAGGGGCTCCTGACACCCAGGTAAGCCGCATGCTGACCCACCACGTCCTCCCTGCGTGGCGCAGGCCTGGAGAAGCCTGGACTGGGGCTCCTGTCTTGGCATGGCCTATCTGAGTGGAGGGTGGGGGAGGAGTCCCCAGCCCGCCCTGGAGCCTCCCTTGGAGTTGCCCCAAGCCTCCCATCTCCCTGGCCCAGAGCCAGCACAAAGGGCCCTTTCCCTCTGGAGGGATCCAGACGCCCCAAGCCCCGGGGCCATGACCCAGACCGGTGGGCACGGTGGATTCAGGCTGGGACCCAGACGAGGCAGTGGGGTTCTCGGGGTCAGGGTCAGCCATTCTGCTGGGCGGGCTTCAGAGCCAGCCTGAGAGATGTCAGTCCTGGCAGCTCTGCAGAGAGCGGAGAGGTGCGGGGGCCGCGACAGACAGGCAACAGGTGGGCTGGGGGACGGGCAGAACTGGGGGCCAGCACCAGCAACACACCCCTGGGGTCTCTGCTCACCCGAGGCCTGGATTCCCCAACAACCTGCTCCTCCTGGGTGAGCTGCGTGGGGGGACGGCTGAGGGGGGAGGTGGGGTCTCAGGGCCCCTCAAGCCCCAGCAGAGTGGTGCGGGGGAGCGGGGGGCACACGCAGGCCTTCCTCCGAGAGCTGCACCAGCCTCAGCTCTCCCCGCTGAGACGTCAGGATGGGCTGCCCCGCAGACTCCAGGCATGTTGGCTGCTGAGACCCCTGGCCGAGGCCAGCCCAGCACCCTTCCCAGCAGGCCCCCCACCCAAGGACCAGAGGAGGCGCCCCGGACCCCGGGTGGCCCTGGAGCAGGTGAGGGGCTGCTGTGGGGTCCCTGTGCAAGTCACCCAGCAGCCCCCTCAGTTTCCCCTCCTGGAAGCTTGGGGGGGACCCCCTGGGCACAGA